TGATCTAAATAAATAATGAAATTCATCATCAACTGAAGGAGAGCTGCACAGTTCACGTACACGATCTTCCTTCTTTACATTGTTCTAACGTCTGGTAAGTTATGGATACATATTCTGAATTTTAAGATTGGGACATAAATATTTGGGTCTTAAAAGTATCTTTTTAATTTTGGCGTCTCTGTCAGATATTAATAAAAATAACTCTTAGAACTCAGTGCCTTAGTACTTATCCATTCTTGTACCACCTGATCCACTGACACCCCGCCTATACCTCAGCCACCAGCCAAGCTGTATTTCATATATATAATGCGGTTGTTGAAAATACTCGTTGGTCCACAATAATGTAACATATTTTCAATACATATTAGCCAAGTATAGCTTACTTCACAATTCTGTTTATACAGTGATAAATCATTTGGGAAAGTTTCTTATCACACGTAGGTGTTGCGATATTAGGACAGAACGTAATTCCACATTTTGAGGTAGTAATGTTTACAGGTTCCTAATAACATAGCCTTTGTTTTGGCAATGTTAACATCTATTTCCATTTAGTGCAGTATTTGTCTAAACGAGTAAAGGGTTTTCTGTAAATCGTCGGGGCATCTACAAATTAGCATACAGTGATATTATAATTTGTAATAATAGCATTAAATCATCACCAAGATTATTATCAAGATTTTACTCACAAGAGAAAGATAATCTCGTTTCACCACAGGACACCTAAACATGACAATTATTTGTATGTACCTTGTCTAAGGACAGACGGTAAAACGGTCGGGTCGTTTGTGTCGAGCCCCGGACGAATCGAACTATTGATCTGGTTTGTTTGTGTGTTGTTGTTTTTTATGTTTAACGAAGCAATATTCCAGATATATGACGGTGGTCTGTAAATAACGAGTCTGGACCAGACAATCCAGTGATTGACAGCATGAGCATCGATCCACGCAATTGGGATTAGATGACATGCATGAACCAAGTCAGCGAGCCTGACCACCCGATCCCGTTCGTCGCCTCTGGTTCCCAGAAGTTAAAGACAAGTAGGTTCAAGTTTGTAACTACATCCTGATCTTCTCAAAGCACGGTAAGATAAACACAAACCCTGAGATCCAGGATTTCGGGGTGCTCTGATCGTTTCCTTATTCCAAACACATTCAGTTTAAGTGAGTGAGTGAAATTAAACGTCGCATCGGCATAATGTCAGCTTTATATACACCTTTTCATAAATATCGCACCACACATTTTAAAGTAAAAGTAGAAAATATAATTTTCGTTTTTTTTAAACTACAAGTACATATTTCATATACTACTATACACCATCTGTGAACATAATATCACAAACACACCCTTTTCCGAGCTGCACGTGCATGCTTACGTTGAGCATGCTTGTACCAGGGGTCGGTTTGCTAAAAATGCAGTATGCACATAGCCTCTTTTGGCGTATGTCATGATGGCAGACACAGCTAGAATTTGGTTTTAGGCATAAATTAAGCTTTATTTTAACCAACCAGTGGAATGCACAAGCGTCCAGTGCCTCTGAACCAAAGATGGCAAATTATTGGTATGCACCAGACTGGCATGTCATGTGCTATTGGAGCACAACTGAACATTAATCACACTGTCATCAGCAGGCTAATACGTAAGCATACTGCTTCCGGTGAAGTGAAGGATGCACCGAAGTATCGACGTCCCAGATGACCAATGACAGGGAAGATCGTGCTCTCGTACGCCAAGCCAGACGAAGCCCAACGTCTACTTGTACACAGCTGCGACATGGATGGCATCCATACAACAGAGTGTCCATCAGCACCATCAGACAACGCCTAAATTCTGCAGGATTGAGAGCGAGACGACCAATCAGACGTCCACTCCTCACAAATCAGCACCGCCATGTCCGTTTAGCCTGGTGCCAAGCACGTGCTCGCTGGAACCTCGAGGACATGGAGATGGATCCACTGGTTCCGATGAAAGCAGATTTTTGCTGCATCATACAGACGGGAGGGCACGTGTTTGGAGGCAGAGAGGCACAGCATATGATCAGAGGAACATTCAAGCTGATGTTCCATTTTGGGGTGGATCCGTCATGGTGTGGGGGTGTTGTTCCTACGATTGTAAAATTGACCTCATCACAGTTCCCGGAACACTGAATGGACAGAGGTACCAGAACTTGATCCTGGACGGTGCTGTTGTGCCTCATTCAGATAACCATGCTCTCGCCACACGTCCAGACTTCATGGACGATAATGTCGGACCACATCGTGCTCGAGCTGTTGTTCAGCATCTCCAACACAACACCATTGAGACACTACCCTGGCCTGCCAGAAGTTCAGACATTAACCCTATTGAGCATTTCTGGGACATTTTGGGACGTAGGGTGAGAGCAAGGGATCCTCCAGTTCAGAACCTTCAGGAATTGACCCATGCAATGCATGATGAGTGGCAGCAGATCCCCCAACAGAGATTCAGACGTCTGGTGACCAGCATGAGACGGCGTGTAGAACATGTTATCCAAGTGCGAGGCGGTTACACCAGATACTGAGTTAGCCAGTCATTGTGGACCTTACTAGTGTGTTCGACATTAATGAAATGTGGACTGTGCTGTGTGTCTGTTGTAACGACTCCGGCAGCCATACTTATTTCACCTTATTTCACGGTGATTTTAGTGAACTTTAGTTTGCTACAATTAAACCCTCAATTAGTGCTCAAATTCGGTCTTGTGTTGTCAATTTTCTGACTGAACGCTCACATGAGGACATATAAACAGTTTAATGTGCTTTTCTAAGCACCATTTTTATGAGGTTAAAGATCCAGATTTACTTAGTGAAAAAAAGTGGGTGGTGCGATATTTATGACGAGGTGTATAGGAACGCAGTCAGATTAAGAAAGTATAAATTATTTAGTGAGTGAGTGAGTATGGTTTTACGCCGCTTTTAGCAATATTCAAGCAATATCACGGCGGGGGACACCAGAAATGGGCTTCACACATTGTACCCATGCCGGGAATCGAACCCGGGTCTTTGGCGTGACGAGCGAACGCTTTAACCACTAGGCTACCCGACCGCTCCACAAATTATTTAGACAGAGTGGGGTTGTACGAGAGGGTGTACTGTGGGTTTCAGAATCATTGCACTTATATAGCGACGCGCATTCATGTGTGCGTGCGCGTATACTAGTCCGGACGAATTCCGATTTACTTACCCCGCGGCGACGACTCGTTTAATACCCGACCGCCAGGCAGGGAAACAACAACTACATACATCTATTTATTCACACTCTATTCGCTCTCTATTCACACTCTATTCGCTCTCTATTCACACTCTATTCGCTCTCTATTCACACTCTATTCGCTACACCACAGAGTTGAGAAGAGGTGAGATACTTTTGACTGAGGACAGTCAACCCCACATTCAAAGGATGTATGGGAATACATTTTGTGGAGAAAATGTGAAAGAAATGGACAAAGGGTGTATTTCACGTTTTGGGGACAGAGCTTTGAATTTGGCGTTTTTCTATATGCTACCGTGACGTCATATCTTGTGGGTCACAATGTTGTGGTGAAGAACTTCGTTTTCTTCAGGGGTGCCCACTTCATGTTATATCTTATGAAGTTGTGAAGCTACATGCTTTCAATGGTTGCCATGTGTTCGAGTGAAGTATTAGTGTGTAAAAGACTGCATGTGCATATACAGGGTCATATTGTGTTTGATGGCTGTTGTTTATCTCCATTCTACGATGACTAAATAAAACGAGTGCAATATATTGAGTGTCATATCCTAATTGCATGGATTGATGCTTATGATGTCAATCACCGGATTGTCTGGTCCAGACTCAATTATGTACAGACCGCTATCATATAGCTTGAGTGAGTGAGTGAGTTTGGTTTTACGCCGCTTTTAGCAATATTCCAGCAATATCACGGTGGGGACACCAGAAATGGGCTTCACACATTGTACCCATGTCGGGAATCGAACCCGGGTCTTCGGCGTGACGAGCGAACGCTTTAACCACTAGGCTACCCGACAGCCCCTCATATAGCTGGAATATTGCTGAGTGCGGCGTTAAACAACAAACAAGCAAACAAACAAAACACACCCATCAGTGTTGAGTCCAGTGTTTTGAGTAGGTTGTTGATCTGAAAATAAGGAATCACCATCAACAAGTACCATCTTCTAACATGTATTAGTCGGGGATCTAATCATCTAATCACTAACCTTCGCTCTCCAGGCAAATGTTCCGTCCACTAAACCACATTATGACTGGAATACTTCATGAAACACACCTGTGAAGATCCGGGGTAGATTAGGTCTTCAGCTACACATGCTTCGCTGTAAGAGGCGACTGACGGGATCGGGTGGTCAGCCTCGCTGACTTTGTTGATGCATGTCATTGTATCCCAATTGCGTGGATCGATGCTCATGATGTCAATCACTGGATTTTCTGGTCCAGACTCGATTATTTACAGACCGCCGTCATATAGCTGGAATATTGCTGAGTGCGGCGTTAAACAACAAAGGAACAAATAAAGAATGATCAATTTGGTCGCTACCTACAGCCGGCATATTTAACTGGAATACCGTTCAAAGAGGCATTAATCCCAACTCACTCACTCACTTTAAACAAGGAACATGACACTACTTTGAACAATACTTCATGATGTCCCAGTGTGACAGTGGAGGACGGAAGCCCAAATTGATGCAGGTCTTAAACATCTACCACTTGATGAAACACACCAGCCCCAGTACGGGGCACACAAACCATGGATCATAGTCAGGCTTGAATTTGGGATTTAAACCCACTTTGATAGATCCTGACCAAAGGGGCATAACCCTGAACTCGGCCTACACATGTGATAATATGCATCTCATATATCTGTCTTGCTCCATATAACCAGGCATCTTATATCTATAAGTCTAGTCCAAAGCAGAGTCAGTTTGACAAAGGTTGAATATTACTATTCTAAAGACACTAATTCAGATATGAAATCACAAACAGAAACAAGTCACTTCAGAAATATATTATATTTACACATAAGTTACATACTATATGATACGAGTTCATACAGAACAGTTGTGTTCGAGGGTTCTTAGGCAAGTTTGTCCTCAGTCCATCACTAAAACATGCACTGGGTGTACATGCCTGGTGCTTGTTTAAAGGTAGACTACACTTGGGCCAGTTGGTAGGCCTTGCAAATTTCACACAAGCCCTCCCTTCCTTGAAACTGCCATCAAGGATCTGTGTGTGTTCGTTACTTTGTTCACAGATCTGTGAACACAAACTTCACACATTTGTCAATAAACAATTTGAGACTAATCTTACTTTCATTCTGCTGAGTCTTACTTAGGCTGATCCAGGAGTTTGGTGAAGGGGGTGATAATGCCAAGCCATGAGATGACGTAGCCGAGGGTGCAGTCAACATGTATGGTGTCTGAAACAAGGGGGTGGGCACCCCTGCACCCCCGCTCTGACACGCCAGTGTTTTGGGAATGAGTCAACTCGATTCCTCAAGCTCCTTCCCAGCGCGCGACACCTTCCTTACACTCTCGGTAACATCGCTGCCACCAGTGTGGGCGCGGCCATTACAAGAATCTTGAAATTTGCCCCCTAACCCCAAATGTAGTAACGTTTATACTTTTGTTTATGTCTTTGGGAATGCCATCATATTTCATTTTGAAAAGGTTTACTACTGATCATATTTTCCAGATGAATTTACTTTGTTGTTTTAATAATCAGATTGGTTCGAGAGTGCAGACTAACGGAAAATCAACCAACTTCTCCCTTACATTCTTACTATATCAATAACATGATGGTTTTAATATAACAGAAATTTAAACTGACAAACAAACAAAGTAATTTAGCAGGGGTAAGTGTATTTGGCGTCACGACAGTCGTCACTTGTTGGTAATCATAACTCCAAGCATAGTTGTGGCCACCTATCACAGTGGGGAGTTTTGACTGGTGGCAGCGATAGTATAGAGAGCTCTGCGAACGGGCTATCGCTGTGAGGAGCTTGTCGATTCCTATAGCAAGGGAGGTAACTCTTTAAAGCCATTCACTGAAGCAGACAAACAACACATTTCTCTCACTGTTTCTTTCACCCAACTGTTCATACGTTTTGTTGGATGAGTTAAAAAAATATCTTTTCATTCATATTTTCACCCTATGGTTTTGAGAAATACTCTAAACCCATCAGCCTGAGCCAGCATTGACGGAGCCCATGATATTTTGATGGCCAACATCCCTTGATGCTAACCTCTGTTCATATGGAATAAGAGGTACTCATGTTTTTAAGAGCAATATTTCTAACTCTTAGAAACATTTCACCAATAAGGAATCTCGTTAGCAATATATACAAACACTATCATGAATACAACACGGAAAATCACTTAATATTCCGGACAATTCTACGACAGTATGGCGACTTCATTTCTTGTAATGCTTCGTCTAAGACCTTGGTCATATGTAGAAGATTGACAGGATCTGTGATCATCACGTGTCTTTCATCCTTCCCACAATCCTTCAGGTGAAGTTTACACACAATCTGGGGCGTTGTTTGTCTCCGCAATGATCGCGAAGCAAGCTGCAACATAAACAAACGCGTTAGGCTAACAATAATAATAGTCTTGGTTCTCGGGCACCGCCAGCATCATCATGAAGTCAGACGAATGTTTACTTTTTATTTCCGTTTTAAAAAAACATAAAAATCCTAATACTCAACAATGCGATCCAGTATAGCACACAGTTACTTCCCCTTACATGCTCACTGCTTTACTGCGCATCTCGTGTTATGGTCATGGCGGCAATAGGAGTTTGTATGCTTGTTTATGTAGAGAGGCCCTTTCCCAGGTTGATGGTACACAATTGTTTACTTGGTAAATACTAGTTTGAACAAGCACAAACATAAAACAAAAGCCCTGCCCGCCTGCACAATATTTTCAAAAGTCATTGCCTGAGAACCAATTCTTGTATTTTTTTATCCTTAAATAGACAACAACACAACTTCATTCCAAGACTCGAAGATGATTCACACCTGCTCTAAATTTTCTGTTGTTCTGTTTCTTTATTCCATTCATAGATCATAATTCCCTATTTTTATGACAACTACACCATAATAAACTGAAACAAGGGAGACAACTCCGACAAGATAAATGCTACAGTAGAGAATCGATTACAATTTCAAGATTGATCATTTGTATGAAAATAAAATGAAGTTTTAATATCCTCAACATAACTATTGATAATAAACTACCGGCAATATAATTGACAAATAATCAGTAACAGACATCATGACTGATTCCATGATTGGTATTAAAGTGATTTAGGGTTTTAGTCCTTGTCTTTGAGAAAGGGCAGACTTTTTAAACTTAGCTTACAACATCGCAACCCACAGCTTGACTTGCATTCTTTCATCAACCAGCTGGGTGTAGACCCACTGCACCATCATACGCTCAATGATAAGTTTGACAGTAGCCGTTTTGTCCATTACCATGTCCTTTGTCACTTTGTCATATGATCAGCACATGGAGCAGAACATCGGAATCCAGCATTACCATGGTTACACTGAGAAATGTCTCAATTTAACACCTGGCTCTTAAATATGTTGGATCGAGATCGGCAACAAAACATCAGAGCATAGTGCACAGTCTCTGTTTAACTTCCTACCTGGACATCGAACCTCCACTCCAGGTCGTGGTAGTGTGGGAGGTCCATGGCCATCTCCGCCAGCGTGGCTCGGACCTCCCTCCGGTTGTCGAGGTACACCTGCAGGATGGCCTGCTGCATCTCCTCGCTGAATCCCAGACACAGGATGGAGTCTTGGAAGTCGATCTCATTCAGCTGAAGAGCAGAGCAGTAGTGAGTTGGAGTTTTACAAAGCTTTTCGCTATATTCCAGCAAAATCAGGGGACATCCGAAATAGGCTCCACACACTGAACCCATATGGGGAATCAAACCTTGCATGTGACATTCAAACACCTTAATGACTAAGCTACCCCATCACTATGGAGATCCACATGTAAATTATCAATACAATATTGTACAATGGTTGATGGTGAGTCAATGCAAGTACATCACAGATGCAGGAACGCAGTGTATTCAGGGATTCAGCATGGATTCTAAACTAAGGGAAAAAAACTATTTCGTTCTAAATTGGGATTTTTGTAAAGTTCATATTCTATTAAATTCAGAGGTATTTTGACATTGTATTCTGAGATTGCATTCAATGCAATAATGTAAAACTAAGCATTTTAATCTCGTCCAATCCAATGGCTCTGTTATCAGTGCAATACAGGTTATCTCTACAAAGCTATAAAATAAGTTATCAGTTATATATATTGACATGAATTCCAGCCCCCTTAGGCAAAGATGGAAATTCCAACATCAGTGACTCCTCCTCTTTTGTCAACCAGCTGAAAGATGCTAACCTCACAGGCACCATGGACAGCGATGACATTATCGACCTCTTCAACTAACATCCCTCTACAAGAAGCATTTGACATCCTCCGCAACAAGCTACATAATAGAATTGACGACCTAATTTTGTTGTTCTTACATGTACATATATATGCTCTCTGCCTAACAGCATTCATTCACCTGATGAAGGAGTAAGCATATACTCCAAAATGTTGTGTTTCTCATAATAAAGAAGTTGACATCGATAAATTCTCTTCCTTATGAATTTGAAAATTTTTAATTCCAATTTGGGAAATTTTAATGATATTTGCTGTTCGATTGGGAGTGAATATCAGCCCCGACTTACAGGGCAAGTTTTATCTAATTAGACAAAATATAAAACTCAGCCATTTAACACTGGAACTGGCTACCTACCATCAACTTGGAGCCCTCAGTGAGAAGGTACATCAGTCCCTCAACTCCATTTTTGACCACTTCAGGACTAACTTCCAGTTTTTCTGCAAAATTAGAATTCATGAGCAGGATACAGTGTACTAATTTTAATCCCACATAAACAGTTATATCCCTGCATCAGCAAAAATCGTTGACTTCCCTATCTTTGATTTGGAAATTAAGATGTTTGACTGCATCATTGTGATCAAACTGCTACCTAAATGTCTCATATTCTTGTGAATATTTCCAGCTGATATAATTTCATTCATAACAAAGCTTGAATATCTTACGTGATGCACTTTGATAAACTTTGGGGTTAGCTCCTTTTCTGATGAAATTCAAACTGATTTTGCAGAATTCTTGTACCACTAAAACAAAAACATAACTTGTTTATTATAATGTAATTCATATTAAATTTATGATATGAAGCTAAGAATATTGGACTTGTAATGAAAGGAAACATTTTTCGAACTTTGATACTGGACAGAATGAATGATCATTACTAATACAAAATCTTCATTATTGATTATTTTAGAACAATATCTGTCTATATTTCCTACATTTCTGCCACGCCCCCTTTCCACAAAACCACTAAGAAGTACAGTACCGTCGGTGCCGACATCGTTCAGAAAGGACAGATGTTCCTTGTGCTTATCTTCAAGTACAAGCAACATAGTTGTTTAATTTGTAAGCTTCACAACCACAAATAACGTAATTTTCACTTTAACATCACTCTTGCATGTGATTGAACGTACTACGCATGTGCAACTTATACCGGATATCCGTTTATGAAAGAAGCATTCTTATCAACAGTGTTAATACAGCAGTAATAATAATATTAAAATATTATAAACTATGCTAATACACTGCTTTTCGAATACTTTGTATATATTTTGTCGTAAAAAAAAATATTAGGCAAATATTTGTTTACTATGTGAAAAATTATCTTTCAATACATAAAGGAATGGTGGAATTATGGAATAGGTTTTTGTTTAGTAGTACAAAACGTTATATCCGGCGGAAATCGGCCAGTTTGTGGCTGTATTTACAAACTGAGCCCGGGAGATTTGGAAGTTTTGAATGTCAATCCAACTCAGTTTTTATTTTAGTGATAAAACCAAAGACCAGCAACATTGGTGATAAAAATCGAAGATGTTCTTCTCTACGGTATCTTTAGATATCACTTAATCATGCAAATAAACCTTCGCTGTGTCCTGTACTTTTTCTGAAACCAACCAGAACAAGCAGTAACATGTTTGTAAGTTGATGTCGTAAATGGAATAATCAATCACTTTCAATGTCAGACGATTTATCCTTGTTGTAAATTACTGTTGAGTGGATATTTATGGTCACGAATTGGATTAGAAACTTGCTCAAAATCATGTTTGAACTCAAAGGTTTGACATTCTTCTCAGAATATGGGACTACCATTTTGGTTTAGCTGTTTTGGGGCCCACGTTTATTTTTGAACTCAAACAGAATGTAATTGTCAAAACAGAATATAATAGTCAGACAGGACTATTTCCCAATATAAGGTAGTGGTTAAAGTAAGCTTATTCTGACTTATTCTTTTACATGTCCTTTTTCTGTCTTTCAAAGGTTCAACATGTTCAATGAATAACTACAATGAAGGATGCATCATGTTTACACAATCAAGATTCATCACTGATACATTGTAGAAAGTCTGATGTCTGAAACTATTTATCTGTGAACCTGTTTTTACTTCAGTACCACAAGAGTACAGACAATAAATATTTCAAATCTGAACAAAATGCAGTGAATTAATTTGTTTTGACTGTCTTGAGCACGTTGAGTAAGCAGATTATTTAGCATGTTTAGTTGTCAGATTAGGTGCTTACTTAATTTATCATCAGATTAACACATACTCCCTGTTTAGTGTAGTACCTGAACAGGTTTCAACAAATGTTCATTGAGGTATTACCATATTTTAATTTTTAATCTCTGATCACAGGGAAGGGTTATACAAATGAAAAATAAATCCCACATGTCTGTGAGAGTATATGAAATATGCTAATCAAATGTCATTATGCTGCTATTTGATTACAATTCTTATTACTTTCGAGGACCATATTTTAAACCACACTAACTTCCATTTTCTTAAATATTTACATTTAACATTGGGCTGGTTTCGTCCATCTGTTTCAGCCTTTTGTGCAATCTGTGGTGGTCGTAAGAGACCCGTGAAGATCCGGGGTAGAATAGGTCTTCAGCAACCCATGCTTGTCATAGGAGGCGACTAACAGGATCGGGTGGTCAGGCTCGCTGACTTGGTTGATGCATGTCATCATATGCCAAATGCGTGGATCGATGCTCATGATGTCAATCACTGGATTGTCTGGTCCAGACTCGATTATTAACAGACCGCAGTCATATAGCTAGAATATTGCTGAGTGCTGCGTTAAACAACAAACAATACATAGTCGTAAGAGGTGACGCAATGGATCATGAGGTCTTGGTTAATTATGTATAATCATACCTTTACAACATATCATTGCTCATGATATAAATCACTGGATTGTCTGGTTCAGACTTTATGATTTACAGGTCACATATAGCTGGAATATTACTGTGGCATCAAAAGACAAAATAACTTAATTATTTTCTGTTTCAGATGATGGTCTTTGGTGTATATTCGAGCTGAGAAAACAGAATGGAAAAACTCTCTGGTCTTTGGCTTGAGTTGCAAAAAAACAATAAGTAAGTTACCAAGCATCAGCATGCCATTGTAGGTGTCTCACTCTCCAAATTTAAGATGACATTTTGCAATATGTTTTGGGGCTGAACCTTGATAGGCCTGCTATGGTAGGAGATTGTTTGAAAGTGTACTTGTTTTGTTTTATGTCTGTCAGTAATGGTGGGGGGCACAGGTGGCCCAGTCGTCTAAGGCGCCGCAATTCGCTGTGCAGTGTTGCGTCCCTTGGGCACGCCAGAAACCTATGATTGTGGGTTCGAATCCCGGTTCGCCCCGATTATGTTTCTAGGTTTGTCAGCACCATACCCGTGCTCGTGGGTTTTACCGAAGTGATAAACGTCTGAGACCTGCATCACTTCAGGCTTTCCTCCCACATTAAGCTGACACGCCGTGATATAACTGGAAAACTGTTAAAAGCGGCGTTAAACCAAACTCACTCACTCACTCACTCAGTAATGGTGAGTCCCTCCAAGTCGTCCAGCAGTGTTAAACACATAATTTCAGTGTTGTGTAATGTGTGTAGAGGTGTGCAGTGTTAAGTACAATGTTTACCACAAAGTGGATTGCCAACATTTTGTATAAATTTGCCATATATTTCTTTCACATTGATCTTATATTGTGCATTGTATTTTCATTGATTCTTTTTCACTTTTTGTGACACTGTTGTTCCAAAAAAGTTCATTGAAAAACAGAATCCTAACAACTGTCGCCAAAGTACCAGATAAGCATAAAATACACAAAACGAAAACCACATAACCACATTATTACAATACAATCATGTACTTTGTTGCCTAGATTACTTGGAAGTAGTACAAGCTTGCCATAAAAGGTTACATTGCTTGTTGTAAGAGGCAACTCACAGGATCGGTAGTCAGGCTCGCTGACTTGGATGATGCATGTCATCGTATCCCAATTGCGTGGGTCGATGCTCATGATATCAATCACAGGGTTGTCTGGTCCAGATTCTATTATTTACAAGCTGCTGTCATTCAGCTGGAATATGGCTGAGTGCGGCGTTAAACAACAAACAAACAATCAAACAAACTGGGGGTAACATCATTTCAGGAGCTGATGGTCACATTAACAATGTTGCATAGTATGTTGCCTAGGTTACCAGGGGAGGGGTTGACGTAATGAAAACAGGAGATGTTTGACAAATTATATCAATATTGTGTAACATAATTACACTACTACCTGCTGTGTTGCCTAGGTTACCAGGAGGGGGGTTGACGTCGAGTCAGGAGGTGATGGCCACATTATTACACTACTACGTGCTGTGTTGCCTAGGTTACCAGGAGGGGGGTTGATGTCGTCGAGTCAGGAGGTGATGGCCACATTATTACACAACTAAGTGCTGTGTTGCCTAGGTTACCAGGAGGGGGGTTGATGTCGTCGAATCAGGAGGTGATGGCCACATTATTACACTACTACGTGCTGTGTTGCCTAGGTTACCGGGAGGGGGGTTGACGTCGTCGTGTCAGGAGGAGCTGCTGGAGCTGATGAGGCAGCTGGACATCATGTTGACTGCGAAACGAAGAGACTGGGAACACGAGACCGCGGCCATCAGGAGTCAGCTGGAGATGAAGGACAAGGAGCTGAACATCCAGACCACGACACTCGAACACAAGAACAGACAGGTGAATCTTACAAGAGTTGTATATGTTGATGACTTGTTTCAGCATTAGGCAACAATCACGTACTCACTTTGAGATTTCCTCCATTTCTTGGAACTATAATATGACTGAAATTCTGTTGAAACTCCCTCTCTCCTTCACTAGGACAATGCCCTGTGAGAGTGCCAGTGTGAATGTCGATGTTGTTTACTCACATGTTAGCGTGCCAGTGTGAATGTCGATATTGTTTACTCACACGTGAGAGTGCCAGTGTGAATGTCGATGTTGTTTACTCACATGTGAGCGTGCCAGTGTGAATGTCGATGTTGTTTACTCACATGTGAGCGTGCCAGTGTGAATGTCGATATTGTTTACTCACACGTGAGCATGCCAGTGTGAATGTCCATATTGTTTACTCACATGTGAGCGTGCCAGTGTGAATGTCAATGTTGTTTACTCACATGTGAGCGTGCCAGTGTGAATGCCGATGTTGTTTACTCACATGTGAGCGTGCCAGTGTTAATGTCAATGTTGTTTACTCACACGTGAGCATGCCAGTGTGAATGCCGATGTTGTTTACTCACATGTGAGCGTGCCAGTGTTAATGTCGATATTGTTTACTCACATGTGAGCATGCCAGTGTGAATGCCGATGTTGTTTACTCACATGTGAGCGTGCCAGTGTGAATGCCGATGTTGTTTACTCACATGTGAGCGTGCCAGTGTGAATGCCGATGTTGTTTACTCACATGTGAGCGTGCCCGTCTGAATGCCGATGTTGTTTACTCACATGTGAGCATGCCAGTGTGAATGCCGATGTTGTTTACTCACATGTGAGCGTGCCAGTGTGAATGCTGATGTTGTTTACTCACATGTGAGCGTGCCAGTGTGAATGTCGATGTTGTTTACTCACATGTGAGTGTGCCAGTGTGAATGTCCATGTTGTTTACTCACATGTGAGCGTGCCAGTGTGAATGTCGATGTTGTTTACTCACATGTGAGCGTGCCAGTTTGAATGTTGATATTGTTTACTCACATGTGAGCGTGCCAGTGTGAATGCCGATGTTGTTTACTCACATGTGAGCGTGCCAGTGTGAATGCCGATGTTGTTTACTCACATGTGAGCGTGCCAGTGTGAATGTCGATGTTGTTTACTCACATGTGAGCGTGCCAGTGTGAATGCTGATGTTGTTTACTCACATGTGAGCGTGCCAGTGTGAATGCCGATGTTGTTTACTCACATGTGAGCGTGCCAGTGTGAATGTCGATGTTGTTTACTCACATGTTAGCGTGCCAGTGTGAATGTCCATGTTGTTTACTCACATGTGAGCGTGCCAGTGTGAATGTCGATATTGTTTACTCACATGTGAGCATGCCAGTGTGAATGTCCATGTTGTTTACTCACATGTGAGCGTGCCAGTGTGAATGTTGATATTGTTTACTCACATGTGAGCATGCCAGTGTGAATGTCCATGTTGTTTACTCACATGTGAGAGTGCCAGTGTGAATGTCGATATTGTTTACTCACATGTGAGCATGCCAGTGTGAATGTCCATGTTGTTTACTCACATGTGAGAGTGCCAGTGTGAATGCCGATGTTGTTTACTCACATGTGAGCGTGCCAGTGTGAATGTCGATGTTGTTTACTCACATGTTAGCGTGCCAGTGTGAATGTCCATGTTGTTTACTCACATGTGAGCGTGCCAGTGTGAATGTCGATATTGTTTACTCACATGTGAGCATGCCAGTGTGAATGTCCATGTTGTTTACTCACATGTGAGCGTGCCAGTGTGAATGTCGATATTGTTTACTCACATGTGAGCATGCCAGTGTGAATGTCCATGTTGTTTACTCACATGTGAGAGTGCCAGTGTGAATGTCGATATTGTTTACTCACATGTGAGCGTGCCAGTGTGAATGTCGATGTTGTTTACTCACATGTGAGCGTGCCAGTGTGAATGTCCATGTTGTTTACTCACATGTGAGCGTGCCAGTGTGAATGTCGATGTTGTTTACTCACATGTGAGCGTGCCAGTGTGAATGTCGATGTTGTTTACTCACATGTGAGCGTGCCAGTGTGAATGTCGATGTTGTTTACTCACATGTGAGCGTGCCAGTGTGAATGCCGATATTGTTTACTCACATGTGAGAGTGCCAGTGTGAATGTCCATGTTGTTTACTCACATGTGAGCATGCCAGTGTGAATGTTGATGTTGTTTACTCCAGGGGTCCGGAAACCGTCATATGCGCCAGACATGTCCGATTGGGAATCTCAAATGTCCGGTTTAAAATATTGCTTACCGGACGTTTTAAAAAGTATTGTTCGGACATTCTTAAATTTTGACCGGATATGATCAACAGTTAGGACTGAGCAGTTTCTGTCTGCAGTTGCAACACAATTAAGATTATCTACACTGACAAGCTTTGTTTGTTTTGATTGCTGTAAATACATCGTACCTACATGATAGTCCAATCGGTCAGTCACTGTAATAGGCAATAAACTGAGTTGACACTGATTAATCAAGGATTAATTACTGAGAACATCTTGTTAATTTGCGTGAAAGGTGTTTATAACTGTACATAAATACCTTGCATCATCGATGTACCCCAATCCATTATTAATAACAGACTTAAGCATCACATCTCTACCAACAGACTTATAAGCCCAGACCAGAGCGGCTTCACAAATAACAGACAAACACTAGACCACATCCTTCACCTAGAACAAGACATTAGAACAGCCCAATCAATGAAACAATACACACTGGCCATTTTTATAGATTTTAGCAAAGCTTTCGACATGGTCTGGCATACCGGCCTTCTAAAAAAACTTGAAAACAATCAGATCAATGGGAGAATATTAAACTTCATTCACTCGTTCCTATCAGACAGACACATTACCGTTAAATCCCATCAAACCCTCTCCGACACTCACCCCATTGAAAACGGCACCCCACAAGGAAGCATCTTATCGCCAATGCTATTTAATTTTATGATTAATGATATCTTTTCAGACACCAAAAACACTGAAAAAATCACTACTGCAAAATTTGCAGATGACGTTTCCTTTTGGACCTCCTCGGCCTCCATCAATTTATTAAAAACTAGAATGCAATCTGCGTTAAACAACATTCAAAATTGGGCTTCCAAATGGGGATTCCAAATTAACACCAATAAAACCACCGGCATGCTATTTAAAAAACAGTATATGCAAAATTACACACCCAAACTTCACCTTAATGACAAAATAATTTACATATCAAAAAGAAGCCAAGTTCTTAGGGTTACATTTGACCAACACCTTACATGGGGCCCCCAAATACTGAAAATGGTCAACTCTTGTGAAAAAGATTTAAATTTAATGAGAGCTATTAAAGGTAATAATTGGGGGTCCGACAAGCAAACCCTCCTCAACATCTACAAAACACTCATTCAATCCAAAATCGACTATGCCGCTCCGGTCCTAAGCGGCATCTCAACTACTAACTATAACAAAATAAAATCAATCCAATACAAGGCCCTCAAAATAGCCACCGGCACTAGGACTGGGACCTCACATCACGCCTTCCTACTAATCACAAATACACTCTCCATCAAACACCGAATACAACAAACCATTCTCAACTACTGGGCTGGGGCACAACACAATCCAATTTTTAAATTAATAAAACAAAAATACAACAACATCAACAAACAGACGGCACACAAATTCCAAAATTCCCCTGACCAAGCTCCATATATGACCCACCTGCACAAGCTAATACTCACCCACAATCTAAGCAACATAATACATACACCCCCCTCCCTACAATACATAGCCGACCTCCCCTCCCCCCCCAGTAGATACAACCCTCCACAAACTGTTCACACCAAGCAACGGCATCCCAGCTGAAAATAAGGCAAAACTAACACTTACACACATCCATAATAACTGGCCTACACACACTCACATCTACACAGACGCATCCCAATCAAATGACAAGACAGGATTAGGAATACACATAGACCAAACACCCCAGGTCACTACTAACTTTCACTATAAAAATTTCACAATCAATAACACAGGGGAACTACTAGCAATCCTTACAGCAATACACGCTACCAAAACAATTAACCAACAAAAATTCCTAATAATATCCGACTCACTAACGTCACTCAAACAAATATAAAACAAACACTCCAGAACACGTCCAGACGTCGACCTTATCAACAATATTATTACTCTCACAAACCAACTCAATAACAACAACAAACAAATCAGTCTACTCTGGGCCCCGGGACACACCAATATACCAGGAAATAACACAGCTCACATTGCAGCCAAAATAGCCACCCAACAGCCATCTCTTGAAATTTACTTCCATACCTCGAAAGTAGAAATCAAGAATAAAATAAAAAGGTCTATCAAACTCCAAAACTACAATAACATAATCGAAAACACCAATTCGCAATGGCTCAGATCAATTTTTACGCAACCCAATCTAAAATGTCGCAACTTCAACAACTCCAACCACCTTGATAATCTCATATCAAGAATTATTAGCGGCAACACAAACCTCAACCACAATCTCCACAAACAAGGAAGACACCCGGACGGAAATTGTATATACTGTAAAAAACCTGAAGACTTGTACCATATTTTTAACAGCTGTCCTTTCTATAACACCCTTCACTCTGAACTCTACCTAGCTGTCCCCCCTAACTATAAACTAAACCTCACACTACTCCTCAACCCTTCCAACCCTATCCACATCCTCAATGCAATAACACAATTTATCATGAAAGCAGACCTCCTAGACAGAAGTTAGAATCTCCCAAACAAAACTAAATAAAATTACTTTGCTCTAGTCAACAATCTCCATTAACTTTCGGATCGGGATCCAAATTTCCAACGCGAGCCGTCCTCTCCGACATCCGCGCCCAAAACCCAGTTATCCACACACTAAACAAAGACACCTGTTTAGCCAGCCAGCGCCTACCACAAGCCCACACCGCTCGCCACCTAACCAAGCCATACCCACCCACCCCCCCCCCACCCCCCGGATTACCGGCTTATACAGTCCCTTCATTAAACCCCTGTTTCTTTCTTTAATCAACCACTCCCTATATTTATTAATGCAGCCTAACTGCATACTTACAATCACCCAATATGCTGTACCAACCCAACCTTCACCCGGTAAGATAAAGTTACGGCCCCACGTCTCTTAATGAAAATAACACCCCCAGTAATAATACTCTCTAGTACCTTCTCTAGGATAGCATAGGTTACCCCCCGGTTAGTTTCAGTTTTTGGGGTATGGTGATTCTTTTATTTAACCTATTTATCATTACTTCCCCACCTACCCCGTCCGCGAAATGCAATAAATGCGAAGCGGACGTAAAATCATTAAATCAGTCAGATGTACCTCATTATCCTCACAATGTTACGATACGTAACCTCAGACAAGAAGCGAAAGCATGACGACAGCCAGTCGACCGATGCAGATCAGTCGAGCAGATCTGCCAAACCCTCAAAGTCTAGACGATCATTTTGTAAGTCGTGGCTAACGAATTTCACTTGGTTGACATACAATGAAGATTTGCAGATTTTATTGTTTTCAGTAGCTAGTCGTATATTGAATCTTGATTGACCGCCATTTTGCTTTCTCGGACGATCGATATCAATTTTTTTTATGGTCAATAAGTACAGATGAAAAAAGTATTCAAATAACTATTGCTCTCAACGATATTTTAGTATTTGTGATTAAATTATCTGTCTTGTTTTAAAAAAATCTTTAGTTTAAAAAAAACTTTTCCCGTGTGGTCACGTGATAACCAAATATGGGATAATAGTCTCGATCCAAATGTTACAACGCGTACACTTGAGCAGACTCATGAATATAACTCCTGAATATTAATTAGACCGTTTACTACGTTAACAGATCATTATTATAAGTTATAACAGAAACAAACGTATGTTTTCCATGTATATCTAAAATGGTATTATTTGTTATTAATTGTCCGGTGAATTAAACAAGTTAAATTGAAACAATTCATAATTCATCATATTATGAATACGTAAACTTGTAATGTGTGTGAAAAGTCGTACTAAAATACGCTATTTGAAGGGGGGCGTGGCCTAAATGCAAATGTCCGATTGGGATTTTAAATTTTCCGGACCCCTGGTTTACTCACATGTGAGAGTGCCAGTGTGAATGTCGATGCTGTTTACTCACATGTGAGAGTGCCAGTGTGAATGTCCATGCTGTTTACTCACATGTGATCGTGCCAGTGTGAATGTCGATGTTGTTTACTCACATGTGAGCGACCAAGTGTGAATGTCGATATTGAATCTGTTGCAGTTTGAGGACATGAGGACACAGTTGACTCAGGCGAGCCGGACCCGGGACGAGGTCGTTCAGCAGTACGAGGCGCAGGTCGTTCAACTCAGCACTGAGGTACAAAGTTAAAAAATAACCCAACTCTGTCCACGATTATCGTGTGTGTCGTGTGTTTTGTCTCCATTCTGCTATGATGAACATCCTCGTCCGTCTAGTGTGGGAATCTAAGGGGGGCCCTGGGGGTGGGGGGGGGTGGGGCAACAAGGTTGGGTTCAGGCAGTGTTCAAAATAAGTGCCTGCCCCTAGGTCTGTGGCAAGTAGATTCTGTGTCGGGCACGTAGTTTCAAAATCAAACAGGTCCTCATGGCCTGCAGTAAATGTTCATGTTTTTTATTTGACACAATGATCTGCAGTTTGTTAAATGAGGGCCTAAAGAGTTAAGTCAGGGCCTGCAGCTTCTGAAGTCTGTGGGTCCTGATGGCAGCCTGGCATTTTGTTTTTTATCAAACACTGTTCTCAGGCTCCATGGCTTGGCTGGTTGCTGGAATATCGCTGAGTGTGGAGTCAAACAAGGAACAAACAAACAGACTACACAATTTGATCCACACAGAAATATCAAATTCCAACCAAGTCTCTACCTTTTAAATTTTGGTCCACAAAATCCAGTTAAACAATTATGCCCTGTTCAATAACATACTTTCATTTTTAGACAAAGGAGAAATGTTTCTGCAGATGTTTGATCTAAAGACAAACGGATGTTGTTATAAAGTTTGTTCCTTGTGTAACCAGTTATTGGCTTCAGTGTGTTAGGACAGGGACCAGCATCTTTCTCAAGCAACTGACACCTCCAAACATCCCATTTAAATCTTTTTTTAGAAAAACTGAATACCTACGGGGGCACGGGTTGCTGGTCACTTTGTAGAGTTGCCTCCCTTAGATCATGATTGTGATGGGTTCAAATCCCCGATTCTCCCTGATCATGTTTCTAGGTTTGTCAGCACGTTACCTGTGCTGCTGGGTTTCACTAGAGTGGTAAACATCGGAGATGTCATTACTCCGGATTTCCTCCCACTTCAAGCTTACATGATGTGAAATCAAAGCATCATTTACCAAAACTCACCCCCTTTGTATTCATTTAGTCAGTCCAGGGTAGACACCATTGGTCATATCCAGGTAGTCCGCAGCTCATTCCGGACTAGTGGCTTATGCAAAATAACTGTATTTGGGGAGAAAACAAACTAGTCCCTCTACATTTTCACTAGTCTCAGAATAACGGACAAGTGACTGTGTCTATCACTGCAGTCCAGTCCAGGCTGCGCACAGGTTTTGGAAATGCCTTGATTTTTACAGTTTGTCTTCAAAAGGCCTTAAATCGGCATTCGCCTTGAAGGGGGCAGTCGTCTAAGGCGCTGCAATTCTCTGTGAGGAGTTGTGTCCCTTGGGCACGCCAGAAACTTATGTTTGTAGTTTCGAATCCCGGTTCGCCCCGATTATGTTTCTAGGTTTGTCAGCACCATACCCATGCTCGTGGGTTTCACCGAAGTGGTAAATGTCCGAGACCTTCATCACTTTGGGCTTTCCTCCCATATTAAGCTGACACGCCACGATATGACTGGAATACTGTTAAAAGTGGCATTAAACACATCTCACTCACTCATTCGCTTTGAAAAGATCCCGAAAATAAACAACCTGACTTGGAAAACCTTGAATTACTCCCTAACTACACATGAGTTTTTTTACTATTTATGTGGGAAACACAAAAAGTGCTTGTGAATGTCCACAAAGCTGTAATGTTGCAGCATAACAAGTAATTTAAACCTTGCAGCTGATATTGCATACCTCCTTTGCATGACGATTTCTTGAACTACGAGTGTTCTACCAAATCTATACAGGGATCATATTTGCCTTGAATTGACTGCAAGTCCCTTGAAAAGGCCTTGAATTTGTTGAGGACAAATCTACACCGACTCTGATTCAACAAAGTATCCTAGGGGACTTTGGGTTAGTCTAGTGGTTAAAGCCTTCACTCGTCACACCAACGACCCGGGTTCGATTCCCCTCATGGGTACAATGTGTGAATCCCATTTCTGGTGTCCCCCGCTGTGATATTGCTGGAATATTGCTTCATGCGGCGTAAAACCATACTCACTCACTCACTCACTCAAGTATCCTGGGATTACTGCTGCAGCCATGATGGTCACATGACACGTTGTTTACGATGGCGTGTCTGTCCCAGGTGCAGAGGATGAAGCGGGAGTATGAGAAGCTCCAGAAGAAACACTCCCGCCACACGAAGGAGGCGCACCGCCTCAAGGCGGAAACCACCACCGAGATCGAGGGCGGCAGGACCGAGATGAAACGACTGCGAGAAAAGATGGAGGTGAGAGGAAGCTGTTGGACCATATATTGGTCCTGCTGTGCACGGGGTAAAATATCTCAATTTTCTTTCATGCATGCGCACTGGAGTTATTCATGCAACGAAGAACAAAAAACAAAGAAAAATCACATTTTTGATTGACATTTTCAACCCTGTATACACGGATTGTGAAAGTTTCTACAGGTAATAGATATGAATTGAGTATTGCTGACAATTTCAAAGTCGGTGATTTTCCTCCTTGTGGCTACTCAAACCAAAGGGAGGTAACTCTAATCTGAAGTTGTCGTGCTTGCTAATCACGGCAGGTTTGAAATACGATTTTCGAGGCATACTTTATGTTTTATTGATAACTAACCGCAACAATTGAGACAATCAATTATTTTTCATAGTGTATACAGATTGTTGCTGTTTTTATATTACTATCGATATTGTACAATCGTAGGGCAGACAAGTGCAGTACGCCGATAGTTCAATATATAGTTAGACTCCAGGGATGTAACTCTGATTTAGTACGTTATTATGGCCTAATGTCCCTGTGGTCTGTTAGCTGTAGTCCTTGCTGTACCACTGTTCAAATAGTAGTGTGATCACGTTTGGCACCACGGCATCACACTTCTTTATAACAATTCTTATCTCAAAATGTAGATGTAAGAAAAGTCATGATACTAAACATACAAATATCATCGAAGGCCCAACCAAAACATATTGAGTAAATGACTGAGGCTTTTGAACTCCAATAAATACAAAAGTATTTTACCATCTATGTCCTGATACATGAGTCAGTTTGTTGTGATGTTCATGATCTTAGGCCAGATTTTTTTTAAAACTTGGTTTACAAATTTTCCGATTCACATTTAAATGTGATTTTTAAATCAGTTTTTTATTCCGCTGACCAGAAATAAGTAAAATGTTATAAAAAAAACACATTCATTGTTGCTGTCAACTTAATATTGTAAAAAATATCCAAAAAGTCTGGCCTAACCCGTGTGTTTGTGTATTGGATGGCCCAACCCGTGTGTTTGTGTATTGGATGGCCCAACCCATGTGTATGTGTGTTTGTGTATTGGATGGCACAACCCATGTGTATGTATGTTTGTGTATTGGATGGCCAAACCCATGTGTATGTGTGTTTGTGTATTGGATGGCCCAACCCGTGTGTTTGTGTATTGGATGGCCCAACCTGTGTGTATGTGTGTTTGTGTATTGGATGGCCCAACATGTTCGTTTGTGTATTGGATGGCCTAACCCGTTTGTTTGTGTATTGGATGGCCTAACCCGTGTTGTTGTGTATTGGATGGCCTAACCCGTGTTGTTGTGTATTGGATGGCCTAACCCGTGTTGTTGTGTATTGGTTGGCCGCAGGACTACCATGCGAGGCTGCAGGACAGCGAGCAGCAGCGCAAGATGCTGAAGAAACAGCTGGACACGGTGGAAGCCCAGAAGAGGGCGCTGGCAGAGAAGTGTGAATTTGTACAGGTAGGACTGATGTTGTTTTGTTTTTGTTCTTATATAAACATATTTTATTCACAAGGAAACTGTCCCCGTGGTCTAGTGGTAGAGTGTCCGGCCGGAGAACGGATGGTCCGGGGTTCGATCCCTGGCTGTGTCATATCAAAAGATGTTAAAAGATGGTACTTGTTGTTACCCTGTCTGGCGCTCAACATTAAAGGGTGGCCGGCTCGGAGTCAGTATACTGTGTCTGAGTGGGGTATTCATGCGGCATGGTATCTCAGTGAGCTAGCACTACAAATCGGCGTCAGTCCGGACTAGTACAAGCAGCCACACACACACGTGGATGCACGTCGCTATATAAGTGCAATAATCTTGATTGCGACATTAAACCCCATTTCACCTCACCACCTCTCTCACAAGGAAGAGTGGGCATAAGATTTCACAACTTAAGTAGAACTCTTCCAAAATATTTATATGATTCGCATTATCACATAATGTGACTTCAACAAAACTGTCTTCTAAACAACCACACAAGCACCCTGAAATTCTATGCAATGTAATAAGTGAGTTCTTATCTTTTCTTTTTCTAAATTTTAAAACTTGTCCTGTCTCAAGTGAAGTTTTATTTACAAAACGATTGTTGAGTATTTATTGAGTGAAAGGTTCTGGACTTTTGTAGAAAGAAGTTTGTCCTGTGTTTCAGCAACAGTCTCAGACCTACCAATCCCAGATCGACCGGCGCAGACAGCTCCAAGACAACACCGAACTCAACCTGAAGACAACTATCACCCAGCTGGAGGGTCAGGCAGAGAGACAGGCAGACACCGTCACCACACAGGTAGGCAGAGAGACAGGCAGACACCGTCACCACACAGGTAGGGAGACAGGCAGACATCGTCACCACACAGGTAGGGAGACAGGCAGACACCATCACCACACAGGTAGGGAGACAGGCAGACACCGTCACCACACAGGTAGGGAGACAGACAGACACCGTCACCACACAGGTAGGGAGACAGGCAGACATCGTCACCACACAGGTAGGGAGACAGGCAGACATCGTCACCACACAGGTAGGGAGACAGGCAGACACCATCACCACACAGGTAGGGAGACAGGCAGACATCGTCACCACACAGGTAGGGAGACAGGCAGACACCATCACCACACAGGTAGGGAGACAGGCAGACATCGTCACCACACAGGTAGGGAGACAGGCAGACACCGTCACCACACAGGTAGGGAGACAGGCAGACATCGTCACCACACAGGTAGGGAGACAGGCAGACACCGTCACCACACAGGTAGGGAGACAGACAGACACCGTCACCACACAGGTAGGGAGACAGGCAGACATCGTCACCACACAGGTAGGGAGACAGGCAGACATCGTCACCACACAGGTAGGGAGACAGGCAGACACCGTCACCACACAGGTAGGGAGACAGGCAGACACCGTCACCACACAGGTAGGGAGACAGGCAGACACCGTCACTACACAGGTAGGGGGACAGGCAGACACCGTCACCACACAGGTAGGGGGACAGGCAGACACCGTCACCACACAGGTAGGCAGAGAGACAGGCAGACACCGTCACCACACAGGTAGGGAGACAGGCAGACACCGTCACCACACAGGTAGGGAGACAGGCAGACACCGTCACCACACAGGTAGGGAGACAGGCAGACACCGTCACTACACAGGTAGGGGGACAGGCAGACACCGTCACTACACAGGTAGGGAGACAGGCAGACACCGTCACTACACAGGTAGGGGGACAGGCAGACACCGTCACTACACAGGTAGGGGGACAGGCAGACACCGTCACCACACAGGTAGGCAGACAGGCAGACACCGTCACCACACAGGTAGGGAGACAGGCAGACACCGTCACCACACAGGTAGGGAGACAGGCAGACACCGTCACCACACAGGTAGGGAGACAGGCAGACACCGTCACCACACAGGTAGGGAGACAGGCAGACACCGTCACCACACAGGTAGGGAGACAGGCAGACACCGTCACCACACAGGTAGGGAGACAGGCAGACACCGTCACCACACAGGTAGGGAGACAGGCAGACACCGTCACCACACAGGTAGGGAGACAGGCAGACACCGTCACCACACAGGTAGGGAGACAGGCAGACACCGTCACCACACAGGTAGGGAGACAGGCAGACACCGTCACCACACAGGTAGGGAGACAGGCAGACACCGTCACCACACAGGTAGGGAGACAGGCAGACACCGTCACTACACAGGTAGGGGGACAGGCAGACACCGTCACTACACAGGTAGGGAGACAGGCAGACACCGTCACTACACAGGTAGGGGGACAGGCAGACACCGTCACTACACAGGTAGGGGGACAGGCAGACACCGTCACCACACAGGTAGGCAGAGAGACAGGCAGACACCGTCACCACACAGGTAGGGAGACAGGCAGACACCGTCACCACACAGGTAGGGAGACAGGCAGACACCGTCACCACACAGGTAGGGAGACAGGCAGACACCGTCACCACACAGGTAGGGAGACAGGCAGACACCGTCACCACACAGGTAGGGAGACAGGCAGACACCGTCACTACACAGGTAGGGGGACAGGCAGACACCGTCACTACACAGGTAGGGAGACAGGCAGACACCGTCACTACACAGGTAGGGGGACAGGCAGACACCGTCACCACACAGGTAGGGAGACAGGCAGACACCGTCACTACACAGGTAGGGAGACAGGCAGACACCGTCACCACACAGGTAGGGAGACAGGCAGACACCGTCACCACACAGGTAGGGAGACAGGCAGACACCGTCACTACACAGGTAGGGGGACAGGCAGACACCGTCACCACACAGGCAGAGAGACGAGCAGACACCGTCACCACACAGGTAGGCAGAGAGACAGGCAGACACCGTCACTACACAGGTAGGGGGACAGGCAGACACCGTCACCACACAGGTAGGCAGAGAGACGAGCAGACACCGTCACCACACAGGTAGGGAGACAGGCAGACACCGTCACTACACAGGTAGGGAGACAGGCAGACACCGTCACCACACAGGTAGGCAGAGAGACGAGCAGACACCGTCACCACACAGGTAGGCAGAGAGACGAGCAGACACCGTCACCACACAGGTAGGCAGAGAGACGAGCAGACACCGTCACCACACAGGTAGGGAGACAGGCAGACACCGTCACCACACAGGTAGGGGGACAGGCAGACACCGTCACCACACAGGTAGGGAGACAGGCAGACATCGTCACCACACAGGTAGGGGGACAGGCAGACACCGTCACCACACAGGTAGGGAGACAGGCAGACACCGTCACTACACAGGTAGGGAGACAGGCAGACACCGTCACCACACAGGTAGGGGGACAGGCAGACACCGTCACCACACAGGTAGGGAGACAGGCAGACACCGTCACCACACAGGTAGGGAGACAGGCAGACACCGTCACTACACAGGTAGGGAGACAGGCAGACACCGTCACCACACAGGTAGGGAGACAGGCAGACACCGTCACTACACAGGTAGGGAGACAGGCAGACACCGTCACTACACAGGTAGGGAGACAGGCAGACACCGTCACCACACAGGTAGGGAGACAGGCAGACACCGTCACTACACAGGTAGGGAGACAGGCAGACACCGTCACTACACAGGTAGGGAGACAGGCAGACACCGTCACCACACAGGTAGGCAGAGAGACAGGCAGACACCGTCACCACACAGGTAGGGAGACAGGCAGACACCGTCACCACACAGGTAGGGAGACAGGCAGACACCGTCACCACACAGGTAGGGGGACAGGCAGACACCGTCACCACACAGGTAGGGAGACAGGCAGACACCGTCACCACACAGGTAGGGAGACAGGCAGACACCGTCACCACACAGGTAGGGAGACAGGCAGACACCGTCACCACACAGGTAGGGAGACAGGCAGACACCGTCACTACACAGGTAGGGGGACAGGCAGACACCGTCACCACACAGGTAGGGAGACAGGCAGACACCGTCACCACACAGGTAGGGAGACAGGCAGACACCGTCACCACACAGGTAGGGGGACAGGCAGACACCGTCACTACACAGGTAGGGGGACAGGCAGACACCGTCACCACACAGGTAGGGGGACAGGCAGACACCGTCACCACACAGGTAGGGAGACAGGCAGACACCGTCACCACACAGGTAGGGGGACAGGCAGACACCGTCACTACACAGGTAGGGGGACAGGCAGACACCGTCACTACACAGGTAGGGGGACAGGCAGACACCGTCACCACACAGGCAGAGAGACGAGCAGACACCGTCACCACACAGGTAGGCAGAGAGACAGGCAGACACCGTCACTACACAGGTAGGGGGACAGGCAGACACCGTCACCACACAGGTAGGGAGACAGGCAGACACCGTCACCACACAGGTAGGGGGACAGGCAGACACCGTCACCACACAGGTACGTCGATGCCAGCACTGCAAGGGCAATGGGGTTACCTGGTGCTTAAGAATCAAGGCCTAAGGTCAGATCCCTCTGTGGTTACACCATGTCTGGAGCCCCTGTTGTAATTGTGCTAAATACAGGGAAAAACCCAGCTCACTCACTCACTCACTCACTTTGTTTTGAAACAGGAGGAGAAGATTCGGAAGCTGAAGGCGTCGCTGAGTGAGGCCATGAACGCTCACAAACGTGCAATGAATGACAATGAGAGACTGCTGGATGACCTGAAGAAAGCAAACACCAGTATCAGAGTAAGGGCTTCTTACTTCAAATTTAGTGTTTCATTTGACCTGTATGTACAGCAAACATGACCAAGAGAGCGTACATATCTAGATCTAGGGAGCCATAGAACAGGAATAACCATTCAACGTGTTTAGAATTCTATGCAGGGGAACCCCACTTATCCAGACACTTCGTGTTTCAAGAATTGCCCAGATAAATGAATTTGCAGATATGTGAATCACTCGGTAAACTGACCAGAGTTAGCTCCCCAACCCACCATTACAAAGAATTTTCAGCAGTTTGTGTAATGCCGCTTCATAGGCTGGAGGGGCGGTCGGGTGGCCTAGTGGTTAAAGCGTTCGCTCGTTTTTCCGAAGACCCGGGTTCGATTCCCGACATGGGTACGATGTGTGAAGCCAATTTCTGGTGTCCCCCGCCGTGATATTGCTGGAATATTGCTAAAAGCGGCGTAAAACCAAACTCACTCACTCCATACGCTGGATGTGTGCATTGGTTTTGGGGGTAGACTCTGCAGCTTTACATTTGTCACATTTTTCATATTTTTGTACTTTATGAACGTCCTTTGGAAGACACAATTTCCAGATAAGTGGGGTTTAGATTCCAATCTAAATGAGATTAATTATTTACCAAACAAATTTCTTTTAACTTAAACAATATCACTTTTGAATCAGGTTGGCATGAGTGAATATATATTTGAATGGTATAAGTAAATAGCAGCGTTCAACCATAGCCATACATGTGAAGCCAGAGTCTCATAGAATGTTGTCTGGTTAAACTCAGCCAGTCACAGTCAAATATAACATCCCAATAATCCTCTTGTCCTATCTGAGGGCGGGCAGATCAGTAATCCAATATACTTGTACAGGTACGTGTGATGAAGATGTGTTTAAAGTGTGACTGGTTACAGCAATATACTTGTACAGATACGTGTGATGAAGATGTGTTTAAAGTGTGACTGGTTACAGCAATATACTTGTACAGATACGTGTGATGAAGATGTGTTTAAAGTGTGACTGGTTACAGCAATATACTTGTACAGATACGTGTGATGAAGATGTGTTTAAAGTGTGACTGGTTACAGCAATATACTTGTACAGATACGTGTGATGAAGCTGTGTTTAAAGTGTGACTGGTTACAGCAATATACTTGTACAGATACGTGTGATGAAGATGTGTTTAAAGTGTGACTGGTTACAGCAATATACTTGTACAGATACGTGTGATGAAGATGTGTTTAAAGTGTGACTGGTTACAGCAATATACTTGTACAGATACGTGTGATGAAGATGTGTTTAAAGTGTGACTGGTTACAGCAATATACTTGTACAGATACGTGTGATGAAGATGTGTTTAAAGTGTGACTGGTTACAGCAATATACTTGTACAGATACGTGTGATGAAGCTGTGTTTAAAGTGTGACTGGTTACAGCAATATACTTGTACAGATACGTGTGATGAAGCTGTGTTTAAAGTGTGACTGGTTACAGCAATATACTTGTACAGATACGTGTGATGAAGCTGTGTTTAAAGTGTGACTGGTTACAGCAATATACTTGTACAGATACGTGTGATGAAGCTGTGTTTAAAGTGTGACTGGTTACAGCAATATACTTGTACAGATACGTGTGATGAAGCTGTGTTTAAAGTGTGACTGGTTACAGCAATATACTTGTACAGATACGTGTGATGAAGCTGTGTTTAAAGTGTGACTGGTTACAGCAATATACTTGTACAGATACGTGGTATGAAGATGTGTTTAAAGTGTGACTGGTTACAGCAATATACTTGTACAGATACGTGTGATGAAGATGTGTTTAAAGTGTGACTGGTTACAGCAATATACTTGTACAGATACACGTTATGAAGCTGTGTTTAAAGAGTGACTGGTTACAGCAATATACTTGTACAGATACGTGTGATGAAGATGTGTTTCAAGTGTGGCTGGTTACAGCAATATACTTGTACAGATACGTGTGATGAAGATGTGTTTAAAGTGTGACTGGTTACAGCAATATACTTGTACAGATACACGTTATGAAGATGTGTTTAAAGAGTGACTGGTTACAGCAATATACTTGTACAGATACGTGTGATGAAGATGTGTTTAAAGTGTGACTGGTTACAGCAATATACTTGTACAGATACACGTTATGAAGATGTGTTTAAAGAGTGACTGGTTACAGCAATATACTTGTACAGATACGTGTGATGAAGATGTGTTTAAAGTGTGACTGGTTACAGCAATATACTTGTACAGATACGTGGTATGAAGATGTGTTTAAAGTGTGACTGGTTACAGCAATATACTTGTACAGATACGTGTGATGAAGCTGTGTTTAAAGTGTGGCTGGTTACAACAATATACTTGTACAGATACGTGGTATGAAGATGTGTTTAAAGTGTGACTGGTTACAGCAATATACTTGTACAGATACGTGTGATGAAGCTGTGTTTAAAGTGTGACTGGTTACAGCAATATACTTGTACAGATACGTGTGATGAAGATGTGTTTAAAGTGTGACTGGTTACAGCAATATACTTGTACAGATACGTGTGATGAAGCTGTGTTTAAAGTGTGACTGGTTACAGCAATATACTTGTACAGATACGTGGTATGAAGATGTGTTTAAAGTGTGACTGGTTACAGCAATATACTTGTACAGATACGTGTTATGAAGCTGTGTTTAAAGTGTGACTGGTTACAGCAATATACTTGTACAGATACGTGGTATGAAGATGTGTTTAAAGTGTGACTGGTTACAGCAATATACTTGTACAGATACGTGTGATGAAGATGTGTTTAATGTGTGACTGGTTACAGCAATATACTTGTACAGATACGTGTTATGAAGATGTGTTTAATGTGTGACTGGTTACAGCAATATACTTGTACAGATACGTGTGATGAAGATGTGTTTAAAGTGTGACTGGTTACAGCAATATACTTGTACAGATACATGTGATGAAGATGTGTTTAAAGTGTGACTGGTTACAGCAATATACTTGTACAGATACGTGGTATGAAGCTGTGTTTAAAGTGTGACTGGTTACAGCAATATACTTGTACAGATACGTGGTATGAAGCTGTGTTTAAAGTGTGACTGGTTACAGCAATATACTTGTACAGATACGTGGTATGAAGCTGTGTTTAAAGTGTGACTGGTTACAGCAATATACTTGTACAGATACGTGTGATGAAGCTGTGTTTAAAGTGTGACTGGTTACAGCAATATACTTGTACAGATACGTGTGATGAAGATGTGTTTAAAGTGTGACTGGTTACAGCGAGTGGAGGGGGAGAAGCAGCAGATGGAGCTGGAGGTTCAGTCCCGGGACGACCTGCTCCGCGCGGCCAATGAGGACGCCCACCAGTACAGCCACGATGTCTCAATCCTGGAGCAGTCTCTGTCAGCCAAAGATGACATCATCAAGTAGGTCACCACATCAGGCATGTGTGCACATGTCAACTTCTCTGATTTACGTGTCGGCCATGTACGTATACTTCTCTGATTTACGTGTTGGCCATGTACATATACTTCTCTGAGTTACGTGTCGGCCATGTACGTATACTTCTCTGATTTACGTGTTGGCCATGTTCGTGTACTTCTCTGATTTACATGTTGGCCATGTACGTGTACTTCTCTGAGTTACGTGTCGGCCATGTTCGTGTACTTCTCTGATTTATGTGTTGGCCATGTTCGTGTACTTCTCTGAGTTACGTGTCGGCCATGTACGTGTACTTCTCTGATTTACGTGTTGGCCATGTACATATACTTCTCTGATTTATGTGTTGGCCATGTTCGTGTACTTCTCTGAGTTTCGTGTCGGCCATGTTCGTGTACTTCTCTGATTTATGTGTTGGCCATGTTCGTGTACTTCTCTGAGTTACGTGTCGGCCATGTTCGTGTACCTCTCTGATTAACGTGTTGGCCATGGTCATGTACTTCTCTGAGTTACGTGTCGGCCATGTACATATACCTCTCTGATTAACGTGTTGGCCATGGTCATGTATTTCTCTGAGTTACGTGTCGGCCATGTTCGTGTACTTCTCTGAGTTACGTGTTGGCCATGGTCATGTACTTCTCTGAGTTACGTGTCGTCTGTGTTTGTGTACTTCTCTGATTAACGTGTTGGCCATGTTAGTGTACTTCTCTGAGTTATGTGTCAGCCATGTTAGTGTACTTCTCTGAGTTACGTGTCGGCCATGTTCGTGTACTTCTCTGAGTTTCGTGTCGGCCATGTTTGTGTCCTTCTCTGAGTTACTTGTCGGCCATGTTCGTGTACTTCTCTGTGTTATGTGTCGGCCATGTTCGTGTACTTCTCTGAGTTACGTGTCAGCCATGTTCGTGTACTTCTCTGAGTTACGTGTTGGCCATGTTCGTGTACTTCTCTGAGTTACGTGTCAGCCATGTTCGTGTACTTCTCTGAGTTACGTGTTGGCCATGTTCGTGTACTTCTCTGAGTTACGTGTCGGCCATGTTCATGTACTTCTCAGAGTTAAGTGTCAGCCATGTACGTGTACTTCTCTGAGTTACGTGTCAGCCATGTTCGTGTACTTCTCTGAGTTACGTGTCAGCCATGTTAGTGTCCTTCTGAGTTACGTGTTGGCCATGTTCGTGTACTTCTCTGAGTTTCGTGTTGGCCATGTTTATGTTCTTCTCTGAGTTTCGTGTTGGCCATGTTTGTGTATTTCTTATTTATGCATACTGAGGATATACTTCCAGGAACCTTGGTGACAGTGCCAGACAGGAGGAGGCGGAGCAAGTGGTTCTCCTGCGTCACTCTCTCAACGAGGCGAAGGAGGAATCTAGGTAGGTGACATGTCACTGGCTGTTCTACTGTGACTTCGGAAAATACTTTGTTGATTGGACAGTCAGAGGTTTTCAGGTCACAATATCAACCTCAGAGTCAATAATTTGTTGGCCTCATCACTTTTGAAGTTCAATTTTTAAACTTATCCTTTCTCACACGATGCATTTCGCCTTCTTTCTATCCTGGTGTTGAAACACCCTAGAACATCGTTTCCAGCTTGAAAAAAAGCGAAGACATCCCAGCATCACCATGGTCACTAAACAAATGAGTCACACACTGTAATCCTGTGCATAGCGAGTCCCAGAACAGTTTAAGTCTACTGGAGCCAAGCCGGGCGACTCTTCCTCCAATTGACTCACCACAACTGTGGGACAGCTGTGGGACAACTGTGGGACAGCTGTGGGACAGCTGTGGGACAACTGTGGGACAACTGTGAGACAACTGTGGGACAGCTGTGGGACAGCTGTGGGACAGCTGTGGGACAACTGTGGGACAACTGTGAGACAACTGTGGGACAACTGTGGGACAGCTGTGGGACAACTGTTGGACAGCTGTGGGACAACTGTGGGACAACTGTGGGACAACTGTGGGACAACTGAGGGACAACTGTGGGACAGCTGTGACCTTCCGCCCCTAGCCTTACCCGTAGTCAAGACGCAAGTAGGCAGAACACATGGAATTTTTGCAGCAAACTGGACAATACCTGGCCGACCCCTTTGTCACTCAACCCCTGTGAGAAGCTAACAGGCTCCTGTTGTTCGGGACCTCTCCGACCATGTCCACGCCTCAACAAAGGGAATATTTGGTCAGTCAACTTCCAGCTCTGCACAAACAATATGTATGTTGATCACCAAACCAGCTCTAGATTGTCTAGGTCACAGTCCAACTACCCCAGGGTTTTACGTGCCGATTTTCCTGGTCCCGTAGAAAGACAGCGACAAACTTAGATTGACGTTCAACATGAAGATTATCAGTGTGCAGTACCTTGACATCTTCCCGAGGCAAGAGAGTTAACTGACTATAAAAGTCCAGTTTCCACCCTTGCCGAACTAGGCTGGTATTATGGCGTTAGATTTTGCCTGGACTAACAAGGCTATGCATAGTCCAAAATGAAATCGAAATCCGGTTTGTAAACTGAAATGCAGATTTCGGTCGATTGCAGAGCATGTGCACCGCCAACTCGTTGTCAACAGATATTTTCCAAATCTTTTCGTGTTTTTAATCAAGGTGCTCACGTGATTTGATGAACTTCACGATGTAAGACCCGTTTTATCACAATATAGACCTTGATTATCGATCAGATCGTCTTGACTGTAAGCTGCCATTTTGTTTGAAGTGAAAGCAAGTGATACGAGAGGTGGAATCTGATTGGTCCATAGGAGAGGCTTAGAAGGAACATAACCTGTAATAGCCACAGGAATTCCAGCCTAGTTCGACAAGGGTGGAAACTGGACTTTTAAAGTCAGTTATCTCCCTTGCCCTGGGAAGATGTACCTTGAAGAACCGCCACATTTTCGTATTATTTCCTCCGTGCTGCTGTGTATGGTTATCTGTCCAAGAGACGACGTGGTCAGCCTCGACCTACAAGATGCGTGTCCTCACATACCCAACCATCGGGAGCACCGCCATTACCTCCGCTTCATTTTCCAAGGTCTGCATTATAAGTGGAAGGTGCTACCGTTTGGAATTCTTTCGGCCCAGTGCCTTTTCACCCATATTACAAAGCCGATCCTAGGGGTATTCTAAGAATGTTGCCAGGACCATCCCTGAAGCTCATGGCTCATCCACTCAGGCCTTGTATGACCATAAGTGGGAAGTAAAGGATACTGTCGTACACGCGACTTCACAACTCCAACCACTGCTACACCCCAACAAGTTGCCGAGTATTTACAGCACAAAGGCCTACACAGAAGCTCAAAGGTTAATTCTGGCTACTTGTCTTGTGGGAATTAATTCTGTGATTGCAACTACTGAGGCTCGAAGGTCTGTACAGTTGTTGAGCTGCAGACTTTATTCGTTCTCACAAACCTGCAAACCAATCATCCTATTTTTGTGCCACCTACTTGGGACCTGAATGCTATTTTTCGTCATCCAACTTTGGCGATCTGTGAACCCTTTGGAGAGGATTTTGAGCATGTCACTGTGAAGATGGTTTCCTCCTGGCCCTAGTAACAGCGGCCCGAGTTAGCGAAATCCATGCTCTTCACATCACCAGAGTCGAAAGAAGGAGAAATGCGTGGTGTGAGATGGGATAAGTATATGAATATACAATTTATTGTAAAATTTTCAATGCTTTATGAGAACTACTTCTTTCACAATCATTGTTGATAGTCATTTTGAAGTAAACATTCGTACAATTTTGGTTACAAAATGTTATGTTGTGTTTACAACGATCCTTATGCGTTCGGTTCCAAATTCAGCTTAGAGTTGGTTAAATATACAGGCAACATCGCTCTGAATTGAAAGCATGGTGTGTTTATCTCCCAACTCACTGACTGTTTCACCTAGATCTCACAAGCGAGCTCAGAAGAAGCTCCGAGATGAGGTGACTGTCCTGGAGAGCAAGCTGGAGAACTCTGTCAAACTCCGAGACAGCATTGCCCACAAGCTGGACGAGAAGGTCGGTGACAGGAGAAGAAAATAAGACAGTATTCCTAGGGTTAGATGTACTGACAGTATTCCTTGGGTCCAGGATATAGATGTACTTACAGTATTCCTAAGGTTAGATGTACTGACAGTATTCCTAGGGTTAGATGTACTGACAGTATTCCTTGGGTCCAGGATTTAGATGTACAGACAGTATTCCTTGGGTTCAGGATTTAGATTTACAGACAGTATTCCTTGGGTTCAGGATTTAGATTTACAGACAGTATTCCTTGGGTTCAGGATTTGGTGTACTGACAGTATTCCTAGGGTTCAGGATTTGGTGTACTGGCAGTATTCCTTGGGTTCAGGATTTGGTGTCCTGACAGTATTCCTTGGGTTCAGGATTTGGTGTACTGACAGTATTCCTTGGGTTCAGGATTTGGTGTCCTGACATTATTCCTTGGGTTCAGGATTTGGTGTACTGACAGTATTCCTAGTGTTCAGGATTTGGTGTACTGACAGTATTCCTGGTGTTCAGGATTTGGTGTACTGACATTATTCCTTGGGTTCAGGATTTGATGAACTGACAGTATTCCTTGGGTTCAGGATTTGGTGTACTGACAGTATTCCTAGGGTTCAGGATTTGGTGTACTGACAGTATTCCTAGGGTTCAGGATTTGGTGTACTGACAGTATTCCTTGGGTCCAGGATTTGGTGTACTGACATTATTCCTTGGGTTCAGGATTTGGTGAACTGACAATATTCCTTGGGTTCAGGATTTGGTGTACTGACAGTGTTCCTAGGGTTCAGGATTTGGTGTACTGACAGTATTCCTTGGGTTCAGGATTTGGTGTCCTGACAGTATTCCTAGTGTTCAGGATTTGGTGTCCTGACATTATTCCTTGGGTTCAGGATTTGGTGTACTGACAGTATTCCTAGTGTTCAGGATTTGGTGTACTGACAGTATTCCTAGGGTTCAGGATTTGGTGTACTGACATTATTCCTAGGGTTCAGGATTTGGTGTCCTGACATTATTCCTTGGGTTCAGAATTTGGTGTACTGACATTATTCCTCGTGTTTAGGTTACAGTGTACTGGCACTATTCTTTGTGTTTAGGTTACAGTGTACTGGCACTATGCCTCGTGTTTAGATTACAGTGTACTGGCACTATGCCTCGTGTTTAGGTTACAGTGTACTGGCACTGTGCCTCGTGTTTAGGTTACAGTGTACTGGCACTATGCCTCGTGTTTAGGTTACAGTGTACTGGCACTATGCCTCGTGTTTAGGTTATGGTGTACTGGCACTATGCCTCGTGTTTAGGTTACAGTGTACTGGCACTATGCCTCGTGTTTAGGTTACAGTGTACTGGCACTATGCCTCGTGTTTAGGTTACAGTGTACTGGCACTATGCCTCGTGTTTAAGTTACAGTGTACTGGCACTATGCCTCATGTTTAGGTTACAGTGTCCTGGCACTATGCCTCGTGTTTAGGTTATGGTGTACTGGCACTATGCCTCGTGTTTAGGTTACAGTGTACTGGCACTATGCCTCGTGTTTAGGTTATGGTGTACTGACACTATGCCTCGTGTTAAGGTTATGGTGTACTGACACTATGCCTCGTGTTTAGGTTACAGTGTACTGGCACTATGCCTCGTGTTTAGGTTATGGTGTACTGGCACTATGCCTCGTGTTTAGGTTACAGTGTACTGGCACTATGCCTCGTGTTTAGGTTACAGTGTACTGGCACTATGCCTCGTGTTTAGGTTATGGTGTACTGACACTATGCCTCGTGTTTAGGTTACAGTGTACTGGCACTATGCCTCGTGTTTAGGTTACAGTGTACTGGCACTATGCCTCGTGTTTAGGTTACAGTGTACTGGCACTATGCCTCGTGTTTAGGTTACAGTGTACTGGCACTATGCCTCGTGTTTAGGTTACAGTGTACTGGCACTATGCCTCGCGTTTAGGTCATGGTGTACTGACACTATTCCTCGTGTTTAGGTCATGGTGTACTGACACTATGCCTCGTGTTTAGGTTACAGTGTACTGGCACTATGCCTCGTTTTTAGGTTATGGTGTACTGACACTATGCCTCGTGTTTAGGTTACAGTGTACTGGCACTATGCCTCGTGTTTAGGTTACAGTGTACTGGCACTATGCCTCGTGTTTAGGTTACAGTGTACTGGCACTATGCCTCGTGTTTAGGTTACGGTGTACTGGCACTATGCCTCGCGTTTAGGTCATGGTGTACTGACACTATTCCTCGTGTTTAGGTCATGGTGTACTGACACTATGCCTCGTGTTTAGGTTACAGTGTACTGGCACTATGCCTCGTGTTTAGGTTACAGTGTACTGGCACTATGCCTCGTGTTTAGGTTACAGTGTACTGGCACTATGCCTCTCGTTTAGGTTATGGTGTACCAATGGCATTTCCATCTAATTATGAGGGACCACCGATGTGATGTTCTGGGGTTTCAGTAAATCCCAGGCCCATCTCCTCGAATAGTGAAGGATTGGTCCATGAGGACCCCAGGGTCTGGAATCATATATCTCTCTCAGGTTTAGTGTTGGTTGTAGGTAATTTGAAAGACTTTGCAAGGACTTTTTGCCCTGGAGTTCTTATCTTTCATTTGAACCGTGTGTCTTATGGACAGTTGATTGTCATTGAAGATTTCATGTCAAACCTCTTCTAACCTGAATCCCATATCAATATTATATCCACAATTTATGAATGTCCCTGCTTCAACAGAGAAAACTTTTAAAATGGCAACGGCAGCAGCACTTGTTTTATTATATTTTCAATTTATCCCCATTACAAAACGTTTTGTTGGCTGTTATGTAAACTAGGGATATAAGAAACTTTGTGTTTGTGTAACAATGAGTACTCTGTCCCCAGGACTCGGAGCTGATACATCTGAAGTCGACCGAGCTCCACACACTGCAGGCACAAGTCCAGCAGGTAGGTGACAGCCGAGCTCCACACACTGCAGACTCAGGTCCAGCAGGTAGGTGACAGCCGAGCTCCACACACTGCAGACACAGGTCCAGCAGGTAGGTCACAGCCAAGCTCCACACACTGCAGACACACGTCCAGCAGGTAGGTGACAGCAGAGCTCCACACACTGCAGGCACAGGTCCAGCAGGTAGGTGACAGCCGAGCTCCACACACTGCAGGCACAGGTCCAGCAGGTAGGTGACAGCAGAGCTCCACACACTGCAGGCACAGGTCCAGCAGGTAGGTGACAGCAGAGCTCCACACACTGCAGACACACGTCCAGCAGGTAGGTGACAGCAGAGCTCCACACACTGCAGACACAAGTCCAGCTCCACATGGCTGGAATATTTCTGAGTGCGGTGTTAAACAACAGACAGACAAACAAACAAACTTGGTCTATCAGCACCACCACACACTAGCTTTTTGCCTCTGGTTAATTTTCAATCATCCAATTCAGTTGACACTCACCATTCATTGAACTATATGTCCCTCACTTACATACCTCCCTCACTCACTACGATGAGTAGGTTTCTCAGGAAATGAAGGAATGGGTTTCACAGTAACTGAATGCGTGGGTTTCACTGTTACTGCCTCCGGGTTTCAGCTGCAGGACAAGTTCAGCGTGGTGGAGGCCAGTCACGGGGCGGAGCTGGACGGGATGAGGACAAAGCTAGCCCAACTCACCACCGACCTCCATCAGCGGAACGCTTCCATCGCCAACTTCACTGACAAGATGTCGCGGTTGGAGCAGCAGGTCGTCATGGAGAGGGACATGTTGGAAGGCCGAGAGGCGGAGCTCAAGGTAGAGTGTATTTGTAAACCAAAGTTAAAAGGTTTCACATTCCGTGAGGGGATTATATCACTCTGTCATTCCCACTGTGTCATCACTTCTTCTTTTTTCGATTAAGTAGAAAAAAATCTGAATAATAGTAGTACATACAATTTTGTTAACCCTGCCATTTTGTGGCCTTTTATTACATGGTCAAGTAAAATATTATCTTTGATTCGGAATTGATGGTAATTGACATAACTCAGGTTTTGTTATTTTCTTACTCACGTGAGGAAATTTTACACTTATGCCATCTCATACTATGCAATTTTTATTCCTGTCCACATCGAGGCTCTGATAATACAGACTGTGACAGTAATGTTGTAGGTGGCCCAGGCCCACATCGAGGCTCTGATAATACAGGCTGTGACAGTGACAGTGATGTTGTAGGTGGCCCAGGCCCACATCAAGGCTCTGATAATACAGGTCGTGACAGTGATGTTGTAGGTGGCCCAGGCCCACATCGAGGCTCTGATAATACAGACAGTGACAGTAATGTTGTAGGTGGCCCAGGCCCACATCAAGGCTCTGATAATACAGGCTGTGCCACTGACAGTGATGTTGTAGGTGGCCCAGGCCCACATCAAGGCTCTGATAATACAGGCTGTGACACTGATGTTGTAGGTGGCCCAGGCCCACATCGAGGCTCTGATAATACAGGCTGTGACAGTGACAGTGATGTTGTAGGTGGCCCAGGCCCACATCAAGGCTCTGATAATACAGGTCGTGACAGTGATGTTGTAGGTGGCCCAGGCCCACATCGAGGCTCTGATAATACAGACTGTGACAGTGACAGTGATGTTGTAGGTGGCCCAGGCCCACATCAAGGCTCTGATAATACAGGCTGTGACAGTGATGTTGTAGGTGGCCCAGGCCCACATCGAGGCTCTGATAATACAGACTGTGACAGTGACAGTGATGTTGTAGGTGGCCCAGGCCCACATCAAGGCTCTGATAATACAGGCTGTGACAGTAATGTTGTAGGTGGCCCAGGCCCAGGCCCACATCAAGGCTCTGATAATACAGACTGTGACAGTGACAGTGATGTTGTAGGTGGCCCAGGCCCACATCAAGGCTCTGATAATACAGACTGTGACAGTGACAGTGATGTTGTAGGTGGCCCAGGCCCACATCAAGGCTCTGATAATACAGGCTGTGACAGTGATGTTGTAGGTGGCCCAGGCCCACATCGAGGCTCTGATAATACAGACTGTGACAGTGACAGTGATGTTGTAGGTGGCCCAGGCCCACATCAAGGCTCTGATAATACAGGCTGTGACAGTAATGTTGTAGGTGGCCCAGGCCCAGGCCCACATCAAGGCTCTGATAATACAGACTGTGACAGTGACAGTGATGTTGTAGGTGGCCCAGGCCCACATCAAGGCTCTGATAATACAGGCTGTGACAGTGACAGTGATGTTGTAGGTGGCCCAGGCCCACATCGAGGCTCTGATAATACAGACTGTGACAGTGATGTTGTAGGTGGCCCAGGCCCACATCAAGGCTCTGATAATACAGGCTGTGACACTGATGTTGTAGGTGGCCCAGGCCCACATCAAGGCTCTGATAATACAGACTGTGACAGTGATGTTGTAGGTGGCCCAGGCCCACATCAAGGCTCTGATAATACAGGCTGTGACAGTGATGTTGTAGGTGGCCCAGGCCCACATCGAGGCTCTGATAATACAGTGACAGTGATGTTGTAGGTGGCCCAGGCCCAGGCCCACATCGAGGCTCTGATAATACAGGCTGTGACAGTGACAGTGATGTTGTAGGTGGCCCAGGCCCACATCGAGGCTCTGATAATACAGACAGTGACAGTGATGTTGTAGGTGGCCCAGGCCCACATCGAGGCTCTGATAATACAGACAGTGACAGTGATGTTGTAGGTGGCCCAGGCCCACATCGAGGCTCTGATAATACAGGCTGTGACACTGATGTTGTAGGTGGCCCAGGCCCACATCGAGGCTCTGATAATACAGGCTGTGACAGTGATGTTGTAGGTGGCCCAGGCCCACATCAAGGCTCTGATAATACAGACTGTGACACTGATGTTGTAGGTGGCCCAGGCCCACATCAAGGCTCTGATAATACAGACTGTGACACTGATGTTGTAGGTGGCCCAGGCCCACATCGAGGCTCTGATAATACAGACTGTGACACTGATGTTGTAGGTGGCCCAGGCCCACATCGAGGCTCTGATAATACAGACTGTGACACTGATGTTGTAGGTGGCCCAGGCCCACATCAAGGCTCTGATAATACAGACTGTGACACTGATGTTGTAGGTGGCCCAGGCCCACATCAAGGCTCTGATAATACAGACTGTGACACTGATGTTGTAGGTGGCCCAGGCCCACATCGATGCTCTGATAATACAGACTGTGACACTGATGTTGTAGGTGGCCCAGGCCCACATCGAGGCTCTGATAATACAGACTGTGACACTGATGTTGTAGGTGGCCCAGGCCCACATCGAGGCTCTGATAATACAGACTGTGACAGTGACACTGATGTTGTAGGTGGCCCAGGCCCACATCGAGGCTCTGATAATACAGACTGTGACTGTGACACTGATGTTGTAGGTGGCCCAGGCCCACATCGAGGCTCTGATAATACAGACTGTGACAGTGACACTGATGTTGTAGGTGGCCCAGGCCCACATCAAGGCTCTGATAATACAGGTCGTGACACTGATGTTGTAGGTGGCCCAGGCCCACATCAAGGCTCTGATAATACAGGCTGTGACAGTAATGTTGTAGGTGGCCCAGGCCCAGGCCCACATCAAGGCTCTGATAATACAGACTGTGACAGTGACAGTGATGTTGTAGGTGGCCCAGGCCCACATCAAGGCTCTGATAATACAGGCTGTGACAGTGACAGTGATGTTGTAGGTGGCCCAGGCCCACATCAAGGCTCTGATAATACAGGTCGTGACAGTGATGTTGTAGGTGGCCCAGGCCCACATCGAGGCTCTGATAATACAGACAGTGACAGTAATGTTGTAGGTGGCCCAGGCCCACATCAAGGCTCTGATAATACAGGCTGTGCCACTGACAGTGATGTTGTAGGTGGCCCAGGCCCACATCGAGGCTCTGATAATACAGACTGTGACACTGATGTTGTAGGTGGCCCAGGCCCACATCGAGGGCTCTGATAATACAGACTCTGACAGTGACAGTGATGTTGTAGGTGGCCCAGGCCCACATCGAGGCTCTGATAACACAGGCTCTGACAGTGACAGTGATGTTGTAGGTGGCCCAGGCCCACATCGAGGCTCTGAGAGTGGAGAACCTTCACCTTCGCCAGGACTTCATGGAGAAGCTGGGGACTGTGTGCGGCAGCCTGGACGCTGAGCAACAGCTGCAGTCAGTCAGCAGCGAGTACACGGCCGTGGTGGCCAGACTGGAGGTGAGGGGCGGGGCATACGGGGGTGGGGTTGACCTGCTCCATGAGGTGATCATAGGTCTTGTGTGAATGAGTGCGTTGATCTTTTAAGTCATGCCGGCAATTTTTCAGCCACATTGTGACAAGACAAAGTAATGCGTTTATATTTTCTTAAACTCTGTGTCATCAAAGGACAGTAAAAAATCTAGTAACATCACAGATTTGTATTTAAAACTAGTTTAAAAAGAATTTAAAGAATTGATTATTAAACAACAACACAATATGAATCTCTGGCTGTTGTCTCCAGCAACCACATCTACCCAGATATGCTTGCAGTGAAGGTTCTATGTCAGCACCATACCCGTGCTCACCGGTGTCATCGACCCGTAAAGATTCCGGGGTAGAATAGATCTTCAGCAACCCATGCTTGCCGTAAAAGGTGACTATGCTTGTAAAAGGCGACTAACGGGATCGGGTGGTCAGGCTCGCTGACTTGGTTGATGCATGTCATCGGTCCCAATTGCGTGGATCGATGCTCATGATATTAATCACTGGATTGTCTGGTCCAGACTTGATTATTTACAGACCGCCGTCATATATCTGGAATATTGCTGAGTGCGGCGTTAAACAACCAATCAATCACTGATGTCACCACAGTGGTCAACATCTAAGACCTGGAACACTTCGGGGTTTTCTCCAGCTGTGATATAACAGGAGTACTGTCTCAGGGATAGATTTAGGATTCCGAACTAAGTGCCTTTGGAGGCAGATTGGGAAAACAATTGTTGTTTTGTTCAGAATTGGGAATTTTTTAACTTATCCTGCATTACTCCGTATTGCATTTACTGCTATGTTTGACAGAGAGACGAACTGTGTGAGATCCAGCTGCTGAAGAAAGTTGTCCCAACCAGCCCAGGAGGCAGCGCCCTCTCACAGTCGGCACGTGACCCGGAAGTCATGACGTCACACAAAAAGACATAACTGCTTTGTCACCTCCACGGACGGACGTACTTTGTATCCCTTGTGGAAATTAAAGCTTATTATTTGTTTTTTATATTTTGCGTGTTTCTACATTCATTATATGCTGCTACATTGTTACCTGATATGGGCCGTGACCTTAGGGTCTTCCCATTCGTAAATTGTAACGTTTATCGCTCGTCTGTGGCTCACGTCACAGTAATTTACGGGCGCAATGTTGTTCCCGCCATTTTGTTTTCTTTCCTGCCATTTTGGCCATTCACCACGTGGCCACGTAATGTCGTGTTCTGCGTTTTGAATTCTCTCTTTGGCTTGGGTAATACATTACATTTATGTATGTTGTTTTGGTGTGCTTAAAGCCTTGCCTTTTCGCTACCTCTCAGCGTAATTGTTTCTTCTCATAAACTTCAATATAATACGAAGTTTATGAGTTACATTATGTCTCCCGTACTCTGTGGTTTTGCCACATGGTTACGTGTTTGCTTAAGGCTTTGCCTTTTCGCTCCCTTTTAGCGTACTTGTTTATCTCATAAACTTTAATAAAATATACTGTTTTTGAGTTACTTTATGCTTCCCATACTTTGTGATTGGCCACACATTATGCTTCCCGCACTTTGTGGCTTTGCCACATAGTTATGTTTTGCTTAAATTCCAGATTTTCTGCCTCGCTGCACTTGTTTCCGCGGGAACAAATCTGGTCGGGGCCGCCCCTTTCTGCCGTGATTGTACGACGCCCTGTACTTTCACAAGGCAGTGCCGATGTTGCAGTCATTCGTAGCTGTGATCCTTCAGCTCATGCGAGTATCCAGGACACACCTCGCTCAACGTGCTCGTCGACCCCCACCTACGTTGACGGCAGCAGCGCTCAGCGGAGCTTCACGGCGGCTCCCAACGTAGAGTCTGCCTCCCATGGCACGACATACGACCGTTCACGGTCTCCTACTCCACTGGCGGCTCCAGCGCTCCCAACGTAGAGTCTGCCTCCCATGGCACGACATACGACCGTTCACGGTCTCCTACTCCACTGGCGGCTCCAGCGCTCCCAACGTAGAGTCTGCCTCCCCTGGCACGACATACGACCGTTCACGGTCTCCTACTCCACCGGCGGCTCCAGCGCTCCCAACGTAGAGTCTGCCTCCCCTGGCAGGACATACGACCGTTCACGGTCTCCAACACCGTCAACGCTGATGTCTCCGGCGCCCCTGGCGCCCCCGGCGCCTCCGATGACTCGGCGCCTCTGATGACACGGCGCTCCCGGCGCTCACGGCGCTCCCGGCGCTCACGGCGCTCCCGGCGCCTCTGATGACGCGGCGCCTCTGATGACGCGGCGCCTCTGATGACACGGCGCTCACAGCGCCCACGGCGCCTCTGATGACACGGCGCCCACGGCGCTCCCGGCGCTCCCGGCGCCTCTGGCGCCTCTGATGACGCGGCGCCTCTGATGACACGGCGCTCCCGGCGCCTCTGATGACGCGGCGCCTCCGATGTCTCGGCGCTCCCGGCGCCTCTGATGACACGGCGCCTCTGATGACTCGGCGCTACCGGCGCCGCTGATGTCTCGGCGCTCAACAAGCTTCATGACTTGTTCATGACAAGCTGATGACTCGGCGCCTCCGATGACTCGGCGCCACCGGCGCCGCTGATGTCTCCGCGCTCCGGCCCCTCCGCATCCTCTGATGTCTTCGGCGCTCAACAAGCTTCAGATCAACAAGCTTTATCAAGCTCAGATCAACGAGCCGACCATCCGATCTTCTACTGCGGCTTAAGGGGCATCATCGGCAATCGCCTCCCCGGCGCCACTGCCCTCTTCTCTTGCTGCCGTCTCATAACTCGTCACACGGAGAAGCATGGTGAAACAACTGTCGCCGCTCCTTTCGCTACTCTCCCGTCGGTCTTCGGGATCGTAAATATCGTTCTACTTCCTGGGTGGAATCATTTCAACCAATAGACAGTTGGTCTGATTCAACTTGCCCACTGAGACGTTATCCATAATCCCGTCGTTTAAAGGGCTATGATTCCGGAGAGATGACCTGCGGGTTTCCATCGAAACAGAGCGTCATGTGAACAGCGTCTGTATCAGATTCGACGACGACATCCACTTACAAAGAGTTTACTTCGTCGACATCGCAGACATCAACGCTGTTCTACCCTACCCTAGCGCCAGCGTTCCTGAGAGAGACTCTTCCTCGGCGCTCCCCGGGTTTTGCACGACGCCCATGGGGTTCCGTGTTTTATCGCAAAACTCGGGTACACCACTTGATCGTCTCTCACACAGTTCATTGAGGATTGTCTGTGTGTGGAGTTTGCACCTCAGTTCCGACTCCAAGGCGGTTTTCTCGGCTACTGCGCAGAGTGATTTACATGTCACGTGTCAAGTACTCGGACTGTCAACAACTCCAACCGGATTTAGGTCAACTTACCATGGCAAGGGGTGCCATGTATTTCTACAGATTGGTTTCCATGTCTACCTGTACGCTTGGTGATACCACTCAACCAGGCGCCTGTCGCAGTCCATCCATGCACGGATGTTGGAAACAATAGACCTCCTCTACCAACACGGCTGTCACGAGGAACCTTGTTTCATCAACCCTTCGCTATAAGAACGATAGCGCCTATAGGCGTTCAAGGGATGGAAGAGATCGCCTTCCTTCGTCCGGTTTGATCTTTTCGACTACGACACCTTCCTATCTTCCGCCTTGACTACCGGACACAGTGTCGATTTGATACTTAAAGTCCCTCGGCCGTCCCACTGACCCCTGTTGCATACCTGCCTCGTATCGTGTTGTCGTCCTCCATCGTCACCTCGATATAAGAACAGGAGTACTTATACGCCGCTTCAGGGATGAAAACGATCTCATTACTTCGTGCAATGGCCATATTGCCTCGACTTCCTACTACCCGGTTACGTCGATGCCCCGGCGGTCGATTGTGAAGCTGGTTTACTTCGTCTACTTGAGGTTGGCTCGCAGGCGATCACACCTTTTTCCGAATCGTACCGACGGTACGCAATCGCAGACCCCTGTTGCTGACTACCTCCCCTGCCACCTTGTCAGTGGCTAGTGGCCCACGCCAGCCCACATTGTGACCACCTGTGATCCAGAGATCAACACCATTGGCACAGCAATAGCCTCGAGATAAATGCTTATCCAGGACGGCACTTGCTGACAGTGCATTCTCGGTCACGCCCTGTTGATCGTGTCCACTGACGACGTCACCGTAGTGTGGTGTTTGCGGACCCAGAGTTCTCGCCCCTCTCCCGGCGCCACAAACTCGACCGGCGCACCCGAGAATCACCATCTTCGGCGTTCCAGGCGCCTCAAGCTCTCCGACGCCTCACGCTCTCCGGCGCCTCGGGCCAGACTATGTGAAACGGTCGACACCCCAACCCTAGATCTGTTTGCCTCATATCTGAATGTGGCCAGCTGTCGTCTTCCATTCCACCTGTGCCGGATACGACCGCTGTGGCAGTCGAAGCCTTCCATCGTTCCTGAGAAGGATTACGCGTGTACGCTTTTCCGACTCCGGTTCTCCCTTCCACGGTTCTTCAGAGATCCAGGCCACTCGACCCCTGCCATTGACTTTGGTCTCGCCTTATTGGTCAGCCAGAAATTGGGTTATCGACCTCCGAAACATAGCCAGAGACAACCCCTGGAACTTCCGGTGTGGTCCAACCTTCTGCTCCATCCACACGGTCTGTTAGAATGAGAAGCCACACCCTCATACCCGCATGTTATCGTCTGCACGCCTGACACACATGCAGAAAGCCAAGGGCTATTCGGCTAGAGCGACCAAGGCTATTGCTTCAGCCCACCGTCCATCTACAGGGGGACTGTATGCTGATAAATGATGCTTGTTCCAGGCATTTTGTTCTGACAAACACCAGGATCCGATGACAGCGTCACCGCAGATCCTGGATCAGTTCCTTCTGTACTTGTGTAGCACCCATCGGTTGAAGGGCTTACCACCCCCACATACCTGGTCGCCATCTACTCCGTTCTGGCCATCCCGGACGATCGGAGAAAGACGAAAATTCCCGACCTACGGGCCTGGCTGCGCTCGTTCAGTCTTGAAGACCTGAAGACCAAGTTTGGACCGCCTGCGTTGGATCTGAATGTGGTCTTCAACGCCCTTCGAACCACTCCCCTCGTCTTCCTTCTACGACCTTAAGTAGAAGACGGGTGTTTCTACTGGTTTTGACTACTGCCGCTCGAGTCCATGTACAGCACGCCCTCGACGTCTCCCATGCCCGGTTCGAATGCGGTACCCAGGGCGCCGTTCATCATGGACCGTACTGGGACGTCAGCGTAAAGACTCAACTCCCAGGACAGCCTGATAGATCATTCCTTGTCCCCTCCCCCCTCGTCCAGTGTGGGTGCCGAGGATGAGGATGAGCGTCATTATGCCCAGTAAGGGCACTGAAGGTTATTCTACGATCTAAAGACTGCCGCAAGTCTAGGAAACACCTTTTTCTGCCGGTCTCCCCTTCGTCGCTGTCGTTGGTCAGCCGGAATACTTTTCCCTGTGGCTCCGGGCGGTCATCCTTAAAGCGTATGAGCCGCCGGATTGGACCCTCCCCCCAAAGGCTATTACCTGAAATAAAATGAGATCAGGGCGATCGTATTTACACTGGTTCTTCACGGTATACTGTTCCATCCCGTCGTTCAGGGAAGCCTGTTCGTGGCGATCGGACACCGCCTTCACCAACCACTACTTCCGTGATGTAGCCTTGAAAGTTGTCGCCGGCGTTCACAGTTTTGGTCCCTGGTTGTAGCCCAACAGGTCATCTATCTCCGACGCCACTGATTCTCCGATACCCTGAGCGGGGCCCGTCGACCTCTCTGGTGTTTATCACCCCAGACGAGACGGCTCTCTTGCGTTCCGCATTCGCTCTTAGGTCAGTTTTAGTTTTGGGTTACCCGACTCATTCTATTGCTGTCACCTATCCGGGTTTTACTTTTTGCATCAACTCTCGTTTCCTGACGACAGGAATGGTAGTAGATGTGGACACCGGCGCCGACGCCAACGCCGCTGCTTCTCTGGTACCTGGGCGGTGCCCGTCGACCTCACCGGTGTTCCTTGCCTCCAGCCTAGAGGGCTCTCCTGCGTTTCGCATTCGCTCTTGGGATTGGTCGTAGATTTTGCCGCCGACGCCGCTGATTCTTCGATTCCCCGAGCGGGGCCCGCCGAACTCTCTGGTGTTTATCACCTCAGATTAGCTCTAGGTTCTACTGCGTTTCGCTTTCGCTCTTCGGTAAGTTATATATTTTGGCTACACGCCTCATTGTATTTCGGTTACCTATTCGGGCGTTTCGTTTTTGCATCGACTCTTGTTTCCTGAAGACAGGAATGGTCGTAGATGTTCCGGTCATCACTTGTATGCGGTGCGGATTCATCGGACCTTGACGAGGGTTTAATATGGTTCACATCTGCAAGTATGCCCACCGGCCAAGCCGTCTGATAAAGATGCAATACGGAGTAATGCAGGATAAGTTAAAAAATTTAGTAAAATCTAAATATTTTTTACATTTGTATACTTATCCTGCATTACGAAGTCTAAGTGCCCTCCCTTTCGCTACGCTACCTCCCCACGAAGTTTCAGATGTTATGTTTAAAGCAGTTATGTCTTTTTGTGTGACGTCATGACTTCCGGGTCACGTGCCGACTGTGAGAGGGCGCTGCCTCCTGGGCTGGTTGGGACAACTTTCTTCAGCAGCTGGATCTCACACAGTTCGTCTCTCTGTCAAACATAGCAGTAAATGCAATACGGAGTAATGCAGGATAAGTATACAAATGTAAAAAATATTTAGATTTTACTAATATTATTAAAGTTATTGTATGTTTTCATTACATCAAAGCCTCTTCCCCCTCACTGGTCTTGGAAATACCAGTTGACCTAACAAAGCCATCACTTCTGATATAGATACATAGAGGTTATCACGCGAGTGTGTTTGGGGATGGTAAATATCCTGCATTAGGAATAAACATTGTATTTAGTGAGCCTTGATACCACAAGCATGATAACCTCTTTATCAAATAATGTCATTCTGTACTTCTGTGCTTTATAATCACTTTCCCTCTCTCACAAACATTACCGAAACATTGCGAGTTTTCCTGGAATGCACGCATTAATACTTATTAAGTCACAGGGTAAGTGATGTGTCAGTCGGACAGTGACAGTAGCCAATATAGTTCCAACTGAAATCTGTTTCTTATACAGTGGCGAAGCAACATATACGCAAAACAACAGTTGTTTTAATTGCCTTTTGCGGCAATCCATCGGTCTGTCCACTAGAGTAACTGCCCTTTGTCAAAGGGAAGCTACTCTAACCCTAGTCTATGAGACGTCACGGCCTAGGTCAGACGTTGTTGACATCCGGTCTGTCCTGTCATAACGTTAAGAAGTGTAGTCAGATGTACACACAGCGACAAAATGAAACAAGGTAACAATTCAAACATATTTCTGCCAAATCCAACTATTTTGATTTGTGGAGAAGGCTTCAAGCCGCAGAGGTCTACAAGCAAAGATATGGGTACTGATCCCGCTTGGCTTGGCCTCGTGCCCTCGGAAAATTGTTTCGAAATTTATATCTCCAAAGTTGCCAAAACTTATAAAATGCCTTAGCTACGTCACAGTTAGACACTGATTTTCAGTATATTAGACTGTTCTTTTGATAATGATAGCAATTATCCCTGTAGATTATCCAGATTCCCGGTGGTTAATTTTTGACTCGATCGCCGAATGACGAGGGCGACGCCATGTTTGTTTATAAACAGTGAAAGTAGTCCTACTTGACCTTTGATATTTGCATCTCTATCCGCATATGACCCCAATGGATATCGTTTTAATCTGTTGGCTTTATCCTGCCGAGAAACCTACCCATTATATGATAAATTAACATACGTAGGGAATGTTTGCTGACATTCGCTGCAGACTTAGGGCTAAATACCAGCCTCTCAGCAGGTCTAGACTCACTCACTCACGCACGCACTCACTCACTCACGCACGCACGCACGCACTCACCCACTCACTCACTCACTCACTCACTCACTCACACACTCACTTTGTGACATGACACGGTATGGGAATGGCGGAGATCGGGGCAGCATAATCACTCTGTGAGGTCCCATTGTCCGAAGAGCTCACTGAGGAGATCAGACGTTTAGGATCCATTAATATCTTTCTGTGTATGTGTGTTTTTCGCTGTCTTTAATTGCCTTAGAAAATAAATATTCCGTCACTTAGCCATAGAGCATAGGAAATACCTTATAAAACAACCTAAAAGATCTGCTAAGTACTTTTTAAAGCACTGCTACCATTCCTCCCACCTACCAGCCAGGATGTTTCATCTCAATTCTGTAAGCCATCTCTGCCTACATTCACTTGGAAGGGTTCAGCTATAACTCCTGCGTTAGTTGTCAAACATAATCCATTATTATTTCGACCCGTGAAGATTCCGGGGTAGAATAGGTCTTCAGCAACCCATGCTTGCCGTAAAAGATGACTCTGCTTGTCGTAAAAGGCGACTAACGGGATCGGGTGGTCAGGCTCGCTGACTTGGTTGATGCATGTCATCGATCCCAATTGCGTGGATCGATGCTCATGATATTAATCACTGGATTGTCTGGTCCAGACTCGATTATTTACAGACCGTCGTCATATAGCTGGAATATTGCTGAGTGCGGCGTTAAACAACAAACCAACCAACCAACCATTATGATTTCAGAGGGAGAATCAGAGTCTTCAAGAGGATGTGTCTCGCTTGAAGCAGGAAATGTCAGTCATGGAGACGTCGTTCCAGGAGACCGCCCACTCCAGGAGCCTGCCCTCCGGTCGCGATAACAGTAAACAGTCAGTATCAGTAGAACTGTGGGTGCTCCAGAGTAGACTAGGTCTCCAGCACCCATGCTTGTCTCCCAGTGGGGTGCTCCAGGGTAGAATAGGTCTCCAGCACCCATGCTTGTCTCCCAGTGGGTGCTCCAGGGTAGAATAGGTCTCCAGCACCCCTGCTTGTCTCCCAGTGGGTGCTCCAGGGTAGAATAGGTCTCCAGCACCCATGCTTGTCTCCCAGTGGGGTTCCAGGGTAGAATAGGTCTCCAGCACCCATGCTTGTCTCCCAGTGGGTGCTCCAGCACCCATGCTTGTCTCCCAGTGGGGTTCCAGGGTAGAATAGGTATCCAGCACCATGCTTGTCTCCCAGTGGGGTTCCAGGGTAGAATAGGTCTCCAGCACCCATGCTTGTCTCCCAGTGGGTGCTCCAGGGTAGAATAGGTCTCCAGCACCCATGCTTGTCTCCCAGTGGGGTTCCAGGGTAGAATAGGTCTCCAGCACCCATGCTTGTCTCCCAGTGGGGTTCCAGGGTAGAATAGGTCTCCAGCACCCATGCTTGTCTCCCAGTGGGGTTCCAGGGTAGAATAGGTCTCCAGCACCCATGCTTGTCTCCCAGTGGGGTTCCAGGGTAGAATAGGTCCCCAGTACCCCATGCTTGTCCCACCCTTGTCTCATGTTGTGCAGGGAGGAATGTAATGGTTCACCTGGTTGAGCACTGCCCCACGTTTCTCTTGTAAAGATGCAAACAATGTAATACTCACCTGAATAATACAATCCTGTATTCTGGAGAACACTGTATTTCTAGTTGACCTGTTTCATCTCTGTAACGCAGCAAGCCGTCGAAGCACAAGCAGTCAGTGCAGGGATACCTGGACAGCACGGCGCAGGGGTACGAGAGTCAGATCCGACTGCTGCAGGCCCAGAAGCATCGACTGGAGGAGGAGCTGGATCTTGAGAGGAGGGAGAATAGACGTGAGTCTCGCCTTTGCCTCGCCTCGTCTCAACCAGTCATCTGAAGCCGCCGTATATTCTAAACCAGGGACACATTCCACGTGTTCTTAACAGTTAGACTTACATAGTAATCCGCACAGAATTTCCTTTACAGAATTGCATCCCTTAGTCATACCAGGATACACTGGTAGTGGTTTTTTGTCTGGATTGTTATCAGCATCATACCCGTATTTGTAGATTTCACCAAAGTGTTTAATATCAAGCACAAGAAAGCATGACAAATTACACACAACACAGGGATGATAAAGTATGGTAAAGAAAGGTAATAGGTATTGAGCGTTCATAGACATGTGGACAAGGTGAGCTGAAATTGGGTTTAACGTCGCGTCCAAGATTATTGCACTTATATAGCGACGTTCATGCACGTGTGTGTGTTTGTGTGGCTGCTTGTACTAGTCTGGACTGATGCCGATTTATAGTGCTAGCACACTGAGATACCATGCCGCAGTTTAACATGAATATCCCACTCAGACACAGCATACTGACTCCGAGCCGAGCAGTCCTTGTTTTAGCCCCTTAATGCCCAGTGCCAGACAGGGTAACAACAAGTACCATCTTTTAATGTCTTTTGGTATGACGCAGCCGGGGATCAAACCCCTACCCTTCCGCTCTCCGTGAGGACGTTCTACCACTAGACCACAGAGGCGGTCTGTGTGGACAAGTCACACACAAATTTGGAATAATAGCTGAAATGAACCCTGGCAGGTTTCCGCATGCAGGGGTAATGCACATAAATTTTGTATGATATTTTGTTTAATTTGTTTTGATAATATGATATATAATGGAACCAAGGTGAAATCAAAACTGCCGAAATATTGTAGACTCATTTGTAGAGTTCAAGGTTTTGTTTTCGGGTCTGTTTTAGTTGGTGTAAATTATTATAGTATTGCCATATTTGACTAAACTGATCTAATATGCATGTCATGGGTCTTCTTTCATTACTAGATTTACAAAACATTTAAAAGAAACCATAATGTAGGCTCGCTATGAAGGTAAGGGTTAGAATAGATCTTTACAACCCAAGCATGTCGTAACCCTAACACTAACGGGATCAGGTGGTCAGGCTCGGTCACACGGTTGATGCATGTCATCGTATCCCAACCGCATTGATTGGTACTCATGATGTCAATCACTGGATTGTTTGGCCCAGACTTTATTATTTACAAACCGTCCTTGTGTAGCTGGAATATTGCTGAGTGCGGTGTTAAACAACAAACAAACAAACATAGTGTTGGTGATACTTATTCTAAGTTTTAGTGATTCCTAAAATAGGTCTGGTCTGGATAAATGAATACAAGTTTAATGTGAATGACCCTTCCTTACTGGTCAACTTCTAAAATCTTCTCAAACTTTATTTTCTTCCACATTTGTGAAATGTTGTCAGTTATAACATGGGACGAAGGACTTCTGGAGTCAGAGTGACATCAGTGTAACATCCTGAGTTGTCGGACAGAAAGATGCAGCCAGTGTTGTTGTGTTCCAGGGATGTCAAGAAGCCACTTCCAGAGTGAGCTGAACGGCAGCGCCGGCACCATCCTCGACTCGGAGCCCATGTCGCTCATCCACACCCTCAACGACCTGGACTCCCCAGCGGAGTCCCTCGAGTGTGATGTGAGTCATGTGACCTTGACCTGAATCACAGACGTAGGGTGGGGGGGGAGGATAGAAATAGTTGTGACGTACATTTTACTTTATGACTACAACACTGTGTAGAGATGCATGCTCGTGGGTTCAAGTCCCGGTCGCCCTGGTAATGTTGTAGGTTGGTCAGCACCATACCTGTGATCGTGGGTTCAAGTCCCGGTCGCCCTGGTAATGTTATAGGTTGGTCAGCACCATACCTGTGCTCGTGGGTTTCACCAATGTGGGCGACGTCTGACGACTGCAACACTTCAGGCTTTCCTCTCAATTCAAGCTGACAAACTGGGTTTTTTTAAAGATTAATGTTTCCAGGTCAAAAAGTTTTTGGAGGAAAGTATATTCATATCAGAAAATAGTCCAGTGTTAGTAAGATACTGGCTGTTGCTTCCTCCCACTTCAAGTAGCCTAGTGGTTAAAGCGTTCGCGCGTCATGCCGAAGATCTGGGTTCGAATCCCGACATGGGTACAATGTGTGAAGCCCATTTCTGGTGTCCCCCGCCGTGATATTGCTGGAATATTGCTAAAAGCGGCGTAAAACCAAACTCACTCACTCACTCAAGCTGACGTTGTGTGAGATAATTGAAATACTGCTCAAAGCGATATTAAGCCAAACTCACTCACTCACATATTGTTTTCTTAGTTGGAGAGTTCTGCTGACGCAGCAGCTGAATTGTTCCTGAGCCAAGAACAGGAACGAGCCAAAGAACTGGAACGACTGATAGATTCTCACATCTCCGAGCTGCGTGCCGGCACAGAACTGACGCTCAGGAAATACACACACAAATGAACAGAATGAAAAGTCAAACGTCTGTGTCAGCAATGACTGGGAGACTCCTGTGAAGTATTGACTGGGAGACTCCTGTGAATTATTGACTGGGAGACTCCTGTGAATAAATTGACTGGGAGACTCATGTGAAGTATTGACTGGGAGACTCCTGTGAAGTATTGACTGGGAGACTCCTGTGAAGTATTGGCTGGGAGACTCCTGTGAAGTATTGGCTGGGAGACTCCTGTGAAGTATTGACTGGGAGACTCCTACGAAGTATTGGATGGGAGACTCCTGTGAATTATTGACTGGGAGACTCCTGTGAATAAATTGACTGGGAGACTCATGTGAAGTATTGACTGGGAGACTCCTGTGAAGTATTGACTGGGAGACTCCTGTGAAGTATTGGCTGGGAGACTCCTGTGAAGTATTGGCTGGGAGACTCCTGTGAAGTATTGACTGGGAGACTCCTACGAAGTATTGGCTGGGAGACTCCTGTGAAGTATTGACTAGGAGACTCCTGTGAAGTATTGACTAGGAGACTCCTGTGAAGTATTGACTGGGAGACTCCTGTGAAGTATTGACTGGGAGACTCCTGTGAAGTATTGACTTGGAGACTCCTGTGAAGTATTGGCTGGGAGACTCATGTGAAGTATTGACTAGGAGACTCCTGTGAAGTATTGCCTGGGAGACTCCTGTGAAGTATTGGCTGGGAGACTCCTGTGAAGTATTGACTAGGAGACTCCTGTGAAGTATTGACTGGGAGACTCCTGTGAAGTATTGACTAGGAGACTCCTGTGAAGTATTGGCTGGGAGACTCCTGTGAAGTATTGACTGGGAGACTCCTGTGAAGTATTGACTGGGAGACTCCTGTGAAGTAATGGCTGGGGGACTCCTGTGAAGTATTGGCTGGGAGACTCCTGTGAAGTATTGACTAGGAGACTCCTACGAAGTATTGACTGGGAGACTCCTACGAAGTATTGGATGGGAGACTCCTGTGATGTATTGGCTGGGAGACTCCTGTGAAGTAATGGCTGGGGGACTCCTGTGAAGTATTGGCTGGGAGACTCCTGTAAAGTATTGGCTGGGAGACTCCTGTAAAGTATTGGCTGGGAGACTCCTGTGAAGTATTGGCTGGGAGACTCCTGTGAAGTATTGGCTGGGAGACTCCTGTGAAGTATTGGCTGGGGGACTCCTGTGAAGTATTGACTAGGAGACTCCTGTGAAGTATTGACTGGGAGACTCCGGTGAAGTATTGACTGGGAGACTCCTGTGAAGTATTGACTTGGAGACTCCTGTGAAGTATTGGCTGGGAGACTCCTACGAAGTATTGACTGGGAGACTCTATGAAGTATTGGATGGGAGACTCCTGTGAAGTAATGGCTGGGGGACTCCTGTGAAGTATTGGCTGGGAGACTCCTGTGAAGTATTGACTAGGAGACTCCTACGAAGAATTGACTGGGAGACTCCTACGAAGTATTGGCTGGGAGACTCATGTGAAGTATTGACTAGGAGACTCCTGTGAAGTATTGGCTGGGAGACTCCTGTGAAGTATTGGCTGGGAGACTCCTGTGAAGTATTGGCTGGAAGACTCCTGTGAAGTATTGACTAGGAGACTCCTGTGAAGTATTGACTAGGAGACTCCTGTGAAGTATTGCCTGGGAGACTCCTGTGAAGTATTGGCTGGGAGACTCCTGTGAAGATTTGGCTGGGAGTCTCCGTGAAGTATGCAGCAAGAACATGCCAGAGTCTTCATGAGATGGGCTGTCATGTTGAATCCGTCAGGTCGGAAGTCACACCGGAATAGATTCTAGAGACAGCACTTTTTGATCTGATCTTTCACTGACTACTCCTCACTGCTTTTTGCAGAAGTGACACTGCCAGGAGCTGGGAGTGCAGGTGTTGTCACATTTACACTGTCAATTGAAACAAAGGACTGAAATCTCACACTACTGCAGACAACTCCAACAATGTGCAGTTTGTGACACAAGCAGTTAGTGCCATGAGCTGCAGTTTGTTACATGAGCTGCAGTTTGTTACATGAGCTGCAGTTTGTTACACGAGCTGCAGTTTTTTTACATGAGCTGCAGTTTTTTATACCAGCTGCAGTTTGTTACACAAGCTGTGGTTTGTTACACGAGCCGCAGTTTGTTATATGAGCTGCAGTTTATTACACAAGCTACAGTTTGTTACATGAGCTGCAGTTTGTTACATGAGCCGCAGCTTGTTACATGAGCTGCAGTTTGTTACAAAAGCTGCAGTTTATTACACAAGCTACAGTTTGTTACACGAGCTGCAGTTTATTACACGAGCCGCAGTTTGTTACACGAGCCGCAGCTTGTTACATGAGCTAGTTTGTTACACGAGCTGCAGTTTATTACACGAGCCGCAGCTTGTTACATGAGCTACAGTTTGTTACACGAGGTGCAGTTTATTACACGAGCCGCAGTTTGTTACATGAGCTGCAGTTTGTTACATGAGCTGCAGTTTGTTACATGAGCTGCGGTTTGTTACACAAGTGTCAGTAAATAGGTAGAGAAAATAAAAGGCAGACTTGCCTGACTTGCTGCAGACAAACAAAACAATCAGCTTCAGTTGCTCAAGGACAAACTCAAATTAGAAGATCTTTTGTTTGTTTTCATAAAATTTAGTAACAAGTACATTTGACAAAAAATGTAAACTTCTCGAGAAGGACCAATCCAACTGATGACAGCATGTTGTTTACTTTCTGGTTTTGATACTGATCACGCTTTAAAACAACACTATCTAACATTAATACAACACTGTCTAACAAGAATACAACACTGTATAACAAGAATACAGCAGTCCAACAAGAATACAACACTGTCCAACAATACAACAGTAACAAGAATACAACACTGTTCAACAAGAATACAACGCTGTCTAACAAGAATACAACACTGTCTAGCAAGAATACAACTCTGTATAACAAGAATACAACAGTAACAAGAATACAACACTGTCCAACAAGAATACAACACTGTCCAACAATACAACAGTAACAAGAATACAACACTGTTCAACAAGAATACAGCACTGTCCAACAAGAATACAACACTGTTCAACAATACAACAGTAACAAGAATACAACACTGTCCAACAAGAATACAACACTGTTCAACAAGAATACAACACTGTCCAACAAGAATACAACACTGTTCAACAAGAATACAACCCTGTTCAACAAGAATACAACACTGTCCAACAATACAACAGTAACACGAAAACAACCCTGTCCAACAAGAATACAACACTGTCCAACAAGAATACAACACTGTCCAACAATACAACAGTAACAAGAATACAACAAGAATACAACACTGTCCAACAAGAATACCACACTGTCTAACAAGAATACAACACTGTCCAACAATACAACAGTAACAAGAATACAACACTGTTCAACTAGAATACAACGCTGTCCAAAAAGAATACAACACTGTCCAACAATACAACAGTAACATGAAAACAACCCTGTCCAACAAGAATACAACACTGTCCAACAAGAATACAACACTGTCCAACAATACAACAGTAACAAGAATACAACACTGTTCAACAAGAATACAACACTGTCCAACAAGAATACAACACTGTTCAACAAGAATACAACACTGTCCAACAAGAATACAACACTGTTCAACAAGAATACAACACTGTTCAACAAGAATACAACACTGTCCAACAAGAATACAACACTGTCCAACAAGAATACAACACTGTCCAACAATACAACAGTAACAAGAAAACAACACTGTTCAACTAGAATACAACACTGTCCAACAAGAATACAACACTGTCTAACAAGAATACAACACCTTTTCAACAAGAATACAACACTGTTCGACAAGAATACAATACTGGCCAACAAGAATAGAACACTGTTCAACAAGAATACAACACTGTCCAACAAGAATACAACACTGTCCAACAATACAACAGTAACAAGAATACAACACTGTTCAACTAGAATACAACACTGTCCAACAAGAATACAACACTGTCTAACAAGAATACAACACCTTTTCAACAAGAATACAACACTGTTCGACAAGAATACAATACTGGCCAACAAGAATACAACACTGTTCAACAAGAATACAACACTGTCTAACAAGAATACAACACTGTCCAACAATACAACAGTAACATGAAAACAACCCTGTCCAACAAGAATACAACACTGTCCAACAAGAATACAACACTGTCCAACAATACAACAGTAACAAGAATACAACACTGTCCAACAAGAATACAACACTGTCCAACAAGAATACAACACTGTCCAACAAGAATACAACACTGTTCAACAAGAATACAACACTGTTCAACAAGAATACAACACTGTCCAACAATACAACAGTAACACGAAAACAACCCTGTCCATCAAGAATACAACACTGTCCAACAAGAATACAACACTGTCCAACAAGAATACAACACTGTCCAACAATACAACAGTAACAAGAATACAACACTGTTCAACTAGAATACAACACTGTCCAACAAGAATACAACACCTTTTCAACAAGAATACAACACTGTTCGACAAGAATACAATACTGGCCAACAAGAATAGAACACTGTTCAACAAGAATACAACACTGTCTAACAAGAATACAACACTGTTCAACAAGGATACAACACTGTCCAACAAGAATACAACACTGTCCAACAATACAACAGTAACAAGAATACAACACTGTTCAACAAGAATACCACACTGTCCAAAAATGATTGTCGATATAGTTAACCAGTTAATGTGGATTTGAAACATGTTATGCTTCACAAGATCAAACTGAATTCATCTGTGAAACTTTTCTGTGACAACATTTTAATATTTATCTTTTCTGACCATTCCATGTGTACGAGGGCAGTGAAAATATTCACCTCTCTCTCACAGCCCATTGTAGTCTGCCCATATTTTTACAAATTCCTTGGGCAAGTAATAATTCTGTTATTATATTTACATGTCATCATTTTGGGGTATGTGCTGAAAACAATCATTTTTCTCCAATGAAAGCTACCTGTCATCTTGGTTATATTCTATTTATGTATGGCATGGGGATTCTGGGATATTCTGGCCCTACATTGTGTCTCATCGTATCTCCAGGGCATTGGTAGATGTTGGGATTCTGGGATACCGTCTGTCCCGGCCCTACATTGCGTGTCATCGTATCTCAAGGTCATGGGTAGATTTGGGGATTCTGGGATACCATCTGTCCCCTCCCCTCCATGGCGTGTCATCGTATCTCAAGGTCATGGGTAGATGGGGGGATTCTGGGATACCATCTGTCCCATGCCCTCCATGGCGTGTCATCGTATCTCAAGATCATGGGTAGATGTTGGGATTCTGGGATACCATCTGTCCCCTGCCCTCCATGGCGTGTCATCGTATCTCAAGATCATGGGTAGATGTTGGGATTCTGGGATACCATCTGTCCCCTGCCCTCCATGGCGTGTCATCGTATCTCAAGATCATGGGTAGATGTTGGGATTCTGGGATACCATCTGTCCCCTGCCCTCCATGGCGTGTCATCGTATCTCAAGATCATGGGTAGATGTAGGGATTCTGGGATACCATCTGTCCCCTGCCCTCCATGGCGTGTCATCGTATCTCAAGATCATGGGTAGATGTTGGGATTCTGGGATACCATCTGTCCCCTGCCCTCCATGGCGTGTCATCGTATCTCAAGATCATTGGTAGATGTTGGGATTCTGGGATACCATCTGTCCCCTGCCCTCCATGGCGTGTCATCGTATCTCAAGATCATGGGTAGATGTTGGGATTCTGGGATACCATCTGTCCCCTGCCCTCCATGGCGTGTCATCGTATCTCAAGATCATGGGTAGATGTGGGGATTCTGGGATACCATCTGTCCCCTCCCCTCCATGGCGTGTCATCGTATCTCAAGATCA